AGGAGGAAGAGGGAAATGAAATGGCAGGAGATACAGATATTGAGACAGAACACAAGGAAACATTCACAGACCAAGCTAAGGCAGACACAGCAGAGGAACCAGCGCAAAGTGAAGAAGCTCCTCAAAAAAGCGAAAGCTCCAAACCCTCAGAGTCATCAGACAAGACCTCTGCCAAAGACAGTTCCAAATCTCCCACCGATAATGAGCACGAGACATTGGAAGACTCTAGTACAGGCACACCCCCAACTGTTCTTCGAGCATCTTTGGCCAAAAGACCATCCCAAGACCCTGACCCAGTGTGGGTACTTCACCTTCTGAAGAAGCTTGAAAAACAGTTTATGGTCCACTACATTAATGCAATGGCAGAGTTCAAAGTTCGATGGGATCTAGATGACAGTCACATCCTGGACACCATGATATGCGAGCTGAGGGATGAGGTGAGCCGACGCATCCAGGGCAGTATTGAACGTGAAATGAGGAAGATTCAGGGTCGAGCGGGGAGAGGTGGTAGGTCACCTCGGCCGCCACAAGGAACACATCTCTCCAGAGAGTCCACTACAACAGAGAAGAGACGTCAGATGTTGAAGGTAAATCTACCACAAACTGTCTTCATAGCAGAGGATACTGCTTGAATAACATAAATTGTTGGATTTAATTTTTGTTTGTTTGTTTGTCTTTTTAGATTATGAAGAAACAGTCGGTGAAGACCAGCGAGTCCCTCAGCGACGGAGAGATGACGGGGGAGTTCAGCGACCAGCGAAGTGACGACGAATACTGTCCATGCGAAGCTTGTGTTCGCAAGAAAATGGCTGCACGGCCTTTCAAAATCAACCCGCTAGCGGCTGAAGCACCGGTGATGAAGGACTTTGACCTACTTAAGATACTTCAGCTGAAGAAAAGCCCAGCCCCTGCAACCGTGCCGCAGCCTGCGGCAGTGGAAGACGAAAGCCAGGTGGCTGTAGACGACGATGGGAGGAATTTAGACGTAGTCCAGGAGGAAGAGGAAGACGAGGAAACCAAAGAGGACATCAGAGCTGTTGTTGTTTTAGAGGAGACGATTGCAGAGGAAGATGAAGAGGCTGAAAAAGAAAACGATGACGGTAAAGCAAGGGAAGAAGAGGAGACAGAAGATGAACAGGAGGAAAATGAGGAAAGTGGTGCAAGCAAAGAGGAGGAGGAAGAAGAAGGAACAAGTGGTGAAGAAGAGAGAGAAGATGAGACATCAGAAACTGGAGAGGAGGATGAAGAACGTCAGTGTAAGTGTACTAGAAACGAGGAGGAGAGTGACCAAGAGGAGGAGGGAGAGGAGCAAACAGGAGAGGATGAAGAAGAGATGGGAGAAGATGAAACAGAGGGAAATGAGGGAGACACAGGAACTGGCGAAGAAGAGGAGACAAGCGACCAAGACACAGTAAAAGAGGCGTCAGTGGGCAAAGGAGAAACCCCAGAAAATGAAGAGAGTGATGAGAGAGTAGACGATAAAGAAAAACCCACAGAGAGTAAAAGAGTGGAAGAGGGGGAGGATAGTGCCGCAGAAACGACAGAAAATGAAAAGTCAATGTTGTCAAAGGAGGTTGCAGAGAGGGACAATGCGTCAGCAGAGGGTGAAGATGACGAGGAAGACGGCACAGGAGAGGGTGAATCGAGTGAGGAACAGGAAGGGGAGGCATCTGAAAAGGAAAGAACCTCGCCACAGGTAAATGTGAACCATGTTTTTACTGAAGTTTATTCAGTAATTATTATGTATAACACAAAGGATAGCATTGTTTTCTTTTTTTCTTTTAAAGGACAGTCCCTTTCATGTTAGTAAAACAGCACTGCACTCATGGAAGTTTAACCGCATTGATTAAAGATGTCAGATAGGCCAACAAACATGATCAGACTGACTCTCCAGCTTAATTTTGACTCCCCTTTAGTGCCGTGCAGTACCGCAAATTATTGTATCAATCCAATACAAAGTGAATACAAAACACCACTGAGTCCCTGAACAACAAACTGCGCTGTTCCTTAAAGAGGAATCTGACCTATTGCATCCTCACCACTAATTCTAAGCCTGTGGGAAAAGATAATCTCGCCATCCAATTAGAGAGCCTGAACAAATCTGTTTTGTTTGGCACCAACATGAAGCTTCCGCTGATGGACGTATGCTGCTTTTGCCAGTTACAGAAAAAGCTTCAACATGTTAAAAATACTTTTAAACTGTGTATTTTTGCCTCCATCGGAACCTGAAACCGGTTAAGGATCAGTTTGGTGATATTATTTACTGGCACCTCCCTGCACTGATTAACTCATTTTAATCTCACACATTAATTTGGTGGTACTATGTAAGCATCTTGTAGATGTAATTACAGCACTCTAATGCCCAATTCATCTAATTAAAACTGCTCAGAAATCATTTATTGTTATCTCATTTAACCCTACAGGGGCAGGACGCGATTCCAGCTGCCTGCATGACCGAGGGAGAGGAGGCAGACGCGGAAGACTCGGACATAGATAGCAAACGTTCGAGCGACACCACTGCTGACAAATCGGGATCGGAGGAGAAGGAAGAGAGTGGAGAAGACAAAGATGAGGAGGAAGATGCTGTTAAAGAGTTCAAGCCAGAGGAAGAGGAAGAGGATAAGGCAAATGGAAGCAAAGGAGAGGATGGTGCTCTTCTGCATCAGTTCACCAGAACCTCAGTGGAGTCCCAGCCTGGCTCATTGGAGGACATCGACGCTGAGTCCCCACAAAATCCTGTGGACTCCACTGAAGTGTCCAAAACGGCTGACAGCATATCCACAGGTGGTAGCAATGGCCAGAGAAGGAGCCGGTCACCAGCCAAGGTCAAGCAACTCAAACCGAAAGAGGGTTAAGACAAACTGGACAGTTTTTGGATACACCTCAGGACACTTTCAAAGACTATTCGCCAGGTGAATCCCCAACTTAGTGACATAGTTTTAAAAACATAATTTGCTCTTTCTGGGACTACACTGGATCAACATAGGCATTTTTATAGGTTTAAAGACTCACTTAAAAACTTGAAGCACTTTATTAATCCAGATCTTGTTTAGGAGGAACAAAACTGATTTATGTTACAAAAGCAAAATGAAACTTGAAACCAGTCTATTGTACATTTATTGTGTTTATAATGGATCTGTGTATATTTTTGAAGTTAACTGTATGTAAGAAGGCATATGAGAATATATTTTTGAAAAACTAACACTTGGTATCTATGGGTGACTTATCAGAACTCAGTTTTGTGCTCAGTGGACAGATTTATTGCTGTATTGAATGGAATAGCTTTTTATATTTACTACACGTTAGCTCAGCCGTGGCAGTTGTATTTACTTGGGTTATCGGTTCAGTTCTGCGATTATTTCTTGGAGCTGTATCATTGAGTCAGTGCTGGATTCTCAGGGTTTTGGTCACCCAGCTTGCTTTGATTTTTTTACCCTGAAAAACATACTAGAAGTAATCCTTGAAGGTCTTTTATGAACTGTGGGTTTTTTTGTCATATTTCACCCTGCTTATAAAACAAAGTGACTGGGTGTGCATCAGAAGTTAGTGAGGGTGGTCTCTGCTGCTGCAGCTACGGAAAAACCCCAAACTATTCTACTCTACTGCTCTTCAAACCATGTCTTCATTATATATATATTTAGTTGTCAAAACTTGTCATTAAGTGTACAAAGGAAGTCATAAAATGTCATTGTCGTGGAGATTTAAAAAAAGGTAATTTCCTAGCTTACCTATTATCTAACTACTTGTTTAAATCTTTAACCTGTTAAATCAATTGTTTAAACCTATACAAGTCTGTAATGTGATTACATTAGAATCTTTTTTTTGAAAAATAGGCTTGTTTGCTTTCTTGCTGAGCTAGTGTGAAGACTTATCAGCACTATCAAGCGTACACACTTAAAAGCTAGAATTAGCTTAGCTTAGCATAGCTAATTACTGACCTTTAGAGTGTCTAATAAACTAATGTCATTTTTATTGTCCTCTAAACAAAGCTAGCTCACAGTTTCCTTTTTCTTCCAGTTTTAAGTTAAACAAAGCTCATTAACTCCCAACTTTGTATTCATTTAGCATTTAGCTTGCATACATAAATGTTTTCTTAGTCAATTCTTAGCAAGAAAGTAAACAGCTGTATTTTTCAAAATGTCAAAGTATTCTATTTTCAGGTACCTTCAAATAATACATACTGTACTTTAATAACAATGTATTATCTTTGAATTCTTGACAGTTAGAATGTGTTTTAACTGTGCTGTACCTCACTGTATTTATGTAATCCTATTACTGTGATCATACCGTAAATGCTTTTTGTCCCAGGAGAAACAGTGTGCAGCATGTAGCTGCAGGAAATTTTAGGAGACGACAGCCTGACTTTAAGGTTGATGTAAACCTTTCTCTGCTGCTTTGGTAAAGGAGTCTCCTTAGGTGTGTGTTACATGCTGTAGATACTGGCGGAGTTTGCACACCAGCCATGTGGAACAACAGCGTGAAGCGTGTTACTGATGCCTTATTGTATCCATGGTTACATAGAGGATGATCGACACAAACAGAGGAGGAGATCACACTTAAGTTAGTGGCTCTCCATTAGACTCACAAAGCCTGTTAAACAAGCTGGAATGAGTCAAAGCTGCTGTTAATGGCTTCAGGCTTACTCTTCAACTGTATATTAGAGCAGGGACACTGCACACGGTCAGTGTGTGCTCAGGACAGTGAGAATGAGGCGCTTATCTCTTACTGCTTAGTTTGACAAAAGCCTCCTATTTTGTGGTACCAAGAAGGTGTGTGTGCCTATGCTGTTACTGGTCTGTCTGTCCGTCCACTAATCTTAAGCATCACAAAGTGAACATCATGTACTTAGAGCAAATGATTATATGAATGTAATGATACTGACAGAAATAAAATAAATGCACTGAATGGTAATTCTCCAAATGTTCTATAATAATCTGGACACATTTCTGTAACTCAGCAGTGTTTGATGGAGCTGAAACTCCAAGTCAGTTATGCAAGCTTGTATCGTGGAAGTACGTCTATTAGTCAGATGAAATGAAACTAGAGCTCTTTGGTCATAGAAACATTGATTATGTTTAAAGAAAGATTGGAGAGTGGTCTTTTCTTTAGTCTTTAGTTTCTCCTACACCATGCAGCGCATCGGCCAGCTATTGATGTCCATTGTTGTTGATCAGCTGCTATTGCTTCGGCTTCATCCAAGTTAATGCTGGCATGCTCCAGATCATCTATTATGGTCCGGCACCAGGTGGTCTTAGGACCTCCTCTTTTGCGTTTCCCTCTATGTGGAAACCATGTCATGGCGACTTTGGCTGGCCGGTGAAGGAGTAGGCAAAGGAATTTTGCTGCAAACCGAAATCAACGTTGAGCAACAATATCGGCTAGGGGAAGCATGCCTGCTCTTTGTAGCACCTCTTTGTTCATTATCCGGTCCCAGAATTTGCCGGAGGCCACGTTGTTGGAGCACGTTCAGCTGACGGATTGTTGCATTTGTTGATTGCCATGTCTCGCTAACGTAGAGGGTGATTGGGATAACAATGGAGTTGAACAGATGAATCTTGATCGGCGTGTTCAGTAAAGTTGAGTTCCAGATGTGCTGTAACTCCAGACACCATGCCAATCCTGGAACAGACATCTCAATCGGAGACATCGTCGTTTGAGATAATGCTACCTAGGTAGCAGAAATTCTCAACTTCGTCAACTTGTACTCTGGTACTCAAATGTAAGCATAACCCACACGAAGTACTTGTCTTCTTGGCGCTTATTCATAATCCGGTCTTCGCTGCCTCTCGTAAGTTCTTGTTGAGTGGAGCCTAGGAGTGCGATGTCCACACTGACAAGTTTCCGCTCTTCTCTCCAGAAAATACCAGCGTTCATTTGATCAACCAATTGCCACGTGTCCGGCAGGCACTTAGTAGTTTTGTGCTGTATAACCCAATAACACCGCAATCCCCACAGTGAAACACGGTGGTGAGAGTATTATGATGTTGGGATCCTTCAGTGTGTCTGGAACTGGGAATCTTGTCAATGTGGAAGGAATCATGAAGGAGAAAGGATATGTGAAGATTTTTAAAGAAAACCTCAAGCAGTCAGCAGCAAAACTGTGTTTGGGTCATCACTTTATTTTCCAACATGACCATAACCCAAAACATATGTTGCTTCTGGTGAAGAACAGTGTATCTAACATGCCTGTTTTGGTGTGTTAACCTCGTTCCAGGATCAACATTGCAACTAAGCAATCATGTTGTCATAGCTTCGCAATGTGGATAAAAAAAGAAGAAAAATACCCTTCTTTATATAAAACTTTCTTGTCAGACAAATGGTAAGAATTTGAAGTGTTTTCTTTATAAATTTTATTGATATAATGAATATATTATCAAGTTTGGTTTCCTCTTAGCCAAATTTAGGTTACTAAATTTGGTTTGCTAATGATACTTTTTAATAGCATTAGTTAACTTCTTGACTAAAGATAATTGAATGCTCAGACATATTGGTTAGTTGCGATGTTGATCTGGGACTATCGTTATTTTGATGTTGGGACAACGCCAACACGGAGATATCAGATCTTGCGGTGTGTGTGAAAAACTGCCCCAGAAGACCTAAGTGAATGTGACTGACTGGCCAGCACAAGGCCCTGATTTGTTTAATAATTCTGTCCTCATCTGTAAATGATTGTTAAATGCAGTGAAATGTCTAAAAATGTCAGTTCCTCTAATGGCCACTTGAGGTTGCTCCAAAAGTGAGTTATACCCACAGACCACCATGTTAACATGCCCAGCTTTAGAGTACTGAAACGCAAACTTACATTAATAAGTCTAGTTACATGGTGATTAGCTTAGGTTAGCATGGCATCTAACCAGAAAGAAACAGCTAGCATGGCTAAACGCCTATAAACTCAAAAGCTACAGGTGAAAGGAACTTTCACTAGTAGCAGTTTAGAGACAATTAGACACTTTGATTGTGTGACAAATTTGTTTCTGTGTATAGATCGAAACCCAAGAAATGAGAGAGAGCAAGATGTGTCCTTCTACTTTCAGGTTATTAAGCTACGCTAATCACTTCCCGGCTTTAGTCTTACACATAATAAAGTGCAATGATCTCAGGCCCTTTACTTCCATTTTTTCCTGCACTTGTTAACATCATGCTACAAAATCAAACAGCCAGTAGTGTAAGTAATAAATGGTTTATGAAGTAAAATCACTGTGATTTTATAGGTGGCAAACAGAAATGCTGAGAATTGTGTCCTAACGCTTTCTGATCCAGACCTGATGTGCACTTCATCTTCTTGGGACCTCCTTCTCTCTGGGCTTTGCCGCTGTGTTTGGCTCTCCTCCAGTGGAGTTCCAAAGCTGTTCAACCTCTCTCTCAAGATACTCACACATAAACCACACTAATCCCCTACCTGTGAGTAAGTTGAGCAAAAGAGGGATTGAGATTGACTTACATCACACAGACAGATCCTGCTGAGCCTTTAAACTCCAGAAAACACTTACAGAACATAGAGTGTCAGGCTTTCTAACATAGTTTAGTGAATTTGAGTCAAAAAGGCTAAAACTTTCATTATCTTAGAAAACACACTTTTTTTAATTTACTTATTTTATTTCAATCACATTAAATTAAAACAGAAGTATGTTCATTTAAAAGTGAGATAAAAGTGCTCAAATCTGTGTTTTGTATGTAAGATTTTAACTTAACGGCCTCCGTTACCACATCCACTGAGCCACGGCTTCCCTAACAATTGGCTGCTGCTTCAAATGTGACTCCGCCTCCACGAGTGACCAACCGGTAAGTAAAATGACCAAAGCCAGAGGGACCACCTTAAAATGAGGGAGACAACATGATACAGCCGTTTAGTTCCTCTCTCTTCAGTTATTCAGCTCTTTATGTGATTTCCGTACCAGAAACCAGATTTTTCTTCATTCTTCATTCTACATAAAGTAATTTATTCAATTTAATTCACTTTTATTTATATACTGCAAAATCACAACAAAACAACAACAGTGAGACAAACCCCTACTAGCAAGCGCTCAGCGACAGTGGGAAGGAAAAACTCCCTTTTAACAGGAAGAAACTTCCAGCAGAACCAGACACAGGAAAGGGCGGCAATCAGCTGTGACTGGTTGGGGGTGAGGGGAAGAAGACCAAAGTTAACTTCTAAACATGATTCTTTCTATGTCACAAGCATCTTTGGATCAATGGACAATCTGACGACGAGCAAAATCAAGCAAAGAGATGAGGAGTGCCACAGCAGTTGGCACTTCCCCTCTGAAATGGAGTAAAATGAGTAAAAGTGAATGTGATGTAATCCCAAGAGAAAACTATCACAGCCTGAGACCCTCTTGATTATAAGAACTTTGATAAAAACCTCCAACCTCTTACACAGAACCAATGAACAGCAATATAGTAGTTTTCACAGCTATAGGCTAATGTGTCAAAATAATATTATTTTAAAAAGCGGTTGTTTTTAAATTCTAAAATGTGTTTCAACATATGTTTGTAAAGCTTTTTAAAGCACTTACCTATAACTGAAAGAGGTAATGACAAGAAGAAACCGTTTTTAAAATCGGGTTTCTGGTATGGATCTGTCAGCAACATGCACATCACCTCTTTACCTTGGTGCTGTTTCTGGCAAAGCACGTGTGTGTGGTGATGTCAGAGGATGTCATCTCCAGTGTCAGCATGTCTACTCGGTAGATTGCCTTTAAAAGAGCTTCCTCACATTTTTCCTCTGGACATGCAGAAAGCTTCTGAAAATAGAATGATTAAGCCTTAATTTACCTCTAAGTTCTAGTAAGTTATAGTCTTCTTTGCTGAATGTGCTGCACGTAAACAGAAAGAAAAGTAAGAAGATGGACTTATTTAAAAAAACAAAAAAACTTTGTCCTGTGGGTTCCCATCATGTTGTTTATTGGTTACTAAAAAAAAAGGGCATAGTGTGAAAATTGTAGTCAGTAATCATGAAAAGGACGGAGCACAAACAGTACACCCTGTAATGCAGTGTTTAAGCTTTGTTAGCGTTTTACATCACAGTACCTGGAGTAAACGCGTGGCCCTGCGGTACAGTTTAGTGTTGGTGACCTGCAGGTCAATCATGTGGTTCTGGTATATCTTCCCCTTTAAGACATGAGCTCCAGTGCTCACAGCGTTCAGCACCAGCTTGGTGGACAGCTCCCGCTGCTCACACAGAAAAGTTATTGATTTTCCTTCCCCTGCATTTATAAAAACCACACTGAGAGGAAACATTAAAGAAAATAACCTGCCATCCAAAATAAGATCTACAGAAGCAAGAAAAATTGAGAATCAATAAAGATGACTTTTTTGACACTCCCTCCTTCCACTGTATTTATCTCTTTATATGGGTGCAAACGTCTCTAAAGAAAGAAGGTGGCAGAAATATAATGGCAGAGCTAGGGCTGCTCGATTATGGCAAAAATTATAATCACGATTATTTTCACTGAAATTGAGATCTCGATTATTTGACGATATTTATTTAACCCTTTAAGACCTACCATAGAACCAAGTCCGCCAGAGCTTATATTATGTTTTTACATGTTGTAGTGCCATTTGTGGGAGCATTTCAAGTTGCTATACATCAATACAACTGTTATAGCCCATATTTTAATAATATGTATGCATTAAGTCCATAGTAACTACATTAATTGCAAAAAAGTGCAATAAACTACAAAAAAATTGAAAATCGTTTTTGTTTTTTTTACATATATTTCTACTTGGAGAAATTTAAGAGGTTTATCCCTCAAAACTTTAAATACAAAAAAGTTGCAAAAAATAGTTTACAACAACAGGAAATTTATTTTGAGTGTCTTCATAGTTTTATTTTGGAGATACACCAATTTTTATATACTGCAGGAAAAACAAAAAAACAATCCTATGATGCAAATTTGCAAAGAAAACAGCATGTGCATCAAAATAAACTATTTCCAGCAGTGCAATTCGAGTTCTAAGCATCCCAGAAACTATTCAGAAAAGTCAAACATGACCAGTATAGGCTTTTAAGGCCTACAAGTAAAAAACTACATTTCCGCGAAAATGACGTCACTTCCGGTTTCGGGCAGGAAATGGCGGACATGCGATAGTTCGCGCTGACGTCTGTTTCACTGTGGGAAGTGTTACGAACAGCTGATCGGATCGGCAAAGCGTGTTTCTGGAATATTATGTTTTTGTTCCTGCAAGCGCTTTTTATGCAATTTTTGCAAAGCTTTATGTGGAAGGAAACCGTGACCGAGGACAAGCTGATGGCATAAGATGTAAGTACAACTCCTCCGGTTTCATATGCAAAAAAATTATTGCGCTAGCTTACACGGTTCAGGTTCTACAGGGATTTAAAAATCGTTACACTGGTTGCCTGTCCATTTTAGAATTCATTTTAAAATTTTATTGCTTGCTTTTAAAGTCTTAAATGGCCTGGCTCCGTCTTACCTGTCAGACCTTTTACACCAATACACTCCACAAAGATCTCTCAGATCATCTGACCAGTCACTCCTTACTGTCCCCATGTCGAGACTGAAACACCGAGGGGACCGAGCTTTCGCTGTTGTGGCCCCCAAACTATGGAACAAACTGCCCCTCCATATCAGGCTGGCCCCAACACTTGAAATGTTTAAATCACTTTTAAAGACACACTTTTTTTCAAAGGCTTTCTAGGAGTATTATCAGAGTCAGTTTGTAGTCAGTTTTTAGTCAGCTGTTGATCATTCTTAATCTTTCTATCTTGTTAATCTTATTCATTGTATATCTTATTGTTTATTCTACTCATGTTGTGATATTTAGTATATACACTGATTTATTTTTATCTTTTTTAATTATATATTTATTTTGTTTATTGATTTCATTGTATGCTTAAAGTATGGGTTTTAACTGCTATCTCTGTTTTATTATTGGAAAGCACTTTGGTCAACTTTGTTGTTTTTAAAAGTGCTATATAAATAAAGTTGGATTGGATTGGATTGGTTACACAAAATGGAGCGTGCTGCTCTGACCGGCTTTAAAGGGTTAACAATAACAATGTATTGAATAATGACTTTAAAAAATAATATAAAATAGTGTGCAACACCACTGAAGTTTTTTTTACTTCTCTTTTCAACCAACGGCAGTCACTCTCCTCTCCAAATAACTTCTGCTTAGCTTTCCTAGCTTCCCTCGGGTCCTCTTAATCAGCGGTCTCCAATCTTTTTTGCCCCACGGACCGGTTTATGCCCGACAATATTTTCACGGACCGGCCTTTAAGGTGTCGCGGATAAATGAGGGAGGGGCTAATAATCGGCTCAGTCATTTTTAATGATCGTTGAAAGCCCAGATTGTAATCGTGATTAAAATTCGATTAATTGAGCAGCCCTAGGCAGAGCATTTAATATTATATTATTTCTCATGCTTCAGTGAGTTGTTGGGCTAATGTGTGTCAAAGTGTGTGTGTATACTGTACCATATGCTGCAAGGTCCCTGAAACAAGTGCTTCTTGAGGCCAAGTTATCTTTAGTGTAGATAAACACAGTTTTTTGATGTCGTCCTGCAAAGAAAAGATACCCACATTAATACCCAAGTACAGTTGTTATAAAAGGTTGTGAACCTTGATTTTTGTATCAGTTAATGCTAATATGTTATCTGATTTTCATATAAGACACAATTGTAGCCAGACACCATCTGACTACACTATACCCAGACACATTCATGATCACTCATGGTTCAGGCTGGAAGAACTTAGTCAGACGTTTGTATACAATACAAACCCACTAATGTCCCACAGTAAGCTGAACCACGACCAGGCCCTTTTGGTAACCATCAGCTTCTGGCTTAATATTTGATCAGTCTTCCTGGCAGAATTCATAGAGTTCATTTAAATTGGTAGATTTACTACCACAGACCTGACTTTAAACTAATCTTTTTTACACTGGGAAAGAGAAACTACCAGTTGTAGTCCATCCAAAACATTCCCTCAAGGAACTCCTGAGACATTCAAGGTTAAAGTACAGGTTTGAGATCAAAGATGTACTGAAATTTCATCCAGGTGTTCCTCAGATGTTCCCAAATTGGAAATGGAAAGAAAAGAGAACCTGAACACATAATGCCTCTAGCAACAGCTGTCACTGGCACATCCCAAGTTTGCAACAGAGCACTTCGGGATGTTGTTCCGTTGACAGATGAGAAAGAATTTGTTGTGATACCTCAGGGCATGGAAAACCTGTAATTACTGAGGGAACAACTGATTTAACAGTTTATAAACATATTTTAAAGAGGGCTTTGAGTGCAGCAGTACATAACCTGAAACAAAATGGCTAATGAAATGAAATTCATATTTTTAAATGCCAAAATACTGATGAACTGAAATAGTTTTGTAGCTGATGGAGGTTGTTATGCTAAAGAAGGTCTTACAACATCTTGGCTCATGCTAATGTCAAAGCAATGCAGTTAAACCTTGAACAGGTGTTCATACATGCAGTGCGCACAGCAGTGTGCATGTTTGTAAAATCCATCAGTCAGCACTGTGTGAAACATGAGTCAAGATTAACGTGTGAACACAGACCTCACTGTAGGCTGAGTGATTGTCAAGTCACTGCCAAAATGAAAAATACAGCTTATTTTTTAAAATGACACTTAGTTTGGGCTGGACATGTGAATAACAGTGCAGTTTGTGTGTTATTAGTTTAGCTAGATCCTTTCTGTCTCTAATTGTGACTCCATAAAGATCAGACAATAATATTGCAGTTCCAAAACTTCAGACATCTACTTGTTGTAAAGAAGCTGCTGTGTCTCCATCAGCCTGGTGATAAACAGCATGGAGGTTGGGCGTCTTTTCTCTCACTCTGCGGGCCATGTTACCCACTTCAGTGGCGTCATCTGTGGAGAGAGGCTGTCAAAACACTTGCTGCTCTGGAAAAAATCCAAGTTACAAACAAAGCGCCGTCTCACCGGAGTGCGTGTAGATTAGCAGCACAGTGTCCTTATCAGTAAGACACGGCAGGATCAGATGTAGGAAGTCCTCATGTGCTATGGAGAACTTGGGGCCCTACAGGAAAGACATAGTTTCAGAGAAAACTATGGTATAGCCAGGACCACTGAAGAAGAAGAAGACTGGTATTAGCATCTCTCTGCCCTGTCACATGTTTATAATGAAAGCAAAGGGCAGCGTGGCCTCAGCACAGAACAGAACGGCAATGATGACAGAAGATGTGGTGCTGAGCTGGAGGTGGGTTGGAAGGTGGCGTGCAGCAATAACAGCTGTGGAAAGCTGTTCACCGAGGCGTGCCATGGTTCAACTGTTTTGGGGGGGGTTGTATTCTTAGTTAATATTTGAGTTTCAGTTTTACTGTTTTTACACTTCAGAGAACTTTGGGGTGTTTTGTTTGTAGAGGCTTTGAATCTTTTTTATTTTAGTATGTATTCTAGTTTTTTGTTCTCTCTGTGTTATCCATGTCTGTCACTGTCATGTCTTAGTATTTATTTGTTCAAGGTTAATCTTCATCTATTTAAGTCAGTTTGACTTCCTCCCTTTTCCCTCATTTCCGACTTTCACTCTTCCCTGATAGTTTCCACCCTGTGTCCTGTTGCCCTAATTAGTGTAATAGGACACGCCTCTCTTTGACGGGGTGTCTACTAATAGTATGTTTCCCCTTTTTTTCCATTGTGATATTCTTGTGATTCTTCTGGAAGTTTCTTCCTCTTAAAAGGGACTTTTTCCTTCCCACTGTCGCCAAGTGCTTGTGCAAAGAGGGACATCAGATTGTTGGGTTTTTCTCTGTATTAGTGTAGCGTCTTTACCTTACAATATAAACCGCCTTGAGGTGACTGTTTTTGTGATTTGGCCCTTTAAACTGAAATAAAATAAATTGAATTCAACGTTTGTTCTCTTGGACTGCCTCCTTGCCTCCTGTATCTTGGATTTTGGGTCCTTTAATAAGACTTAATGATTCACACAGTTTGCAAAACTGTAGCATATGGCTATATCACATTTTCCAGTTGAATGTGTAGAAGGATGTCAGATGATGCAGGCTAGGTTTGGCTCTGTTCCTTGCATTCAGATTATTTTGCTAATACACATTTATGACTTGGTGGTGATCTGGTCATAAATGTTAGTAGAAAAACATCTTGAGCCATAAGTTCGGTCTTGTAAGATCCTGGGGATCCACTGAGGCTGGGATGCTAGGAAATCAAGTGTAAGTCAGAACTAGTCAGAGACAATAACCCCTTGTACTACCTGCTAGCTAAATTTGTGGCAACAGGCACCTCAGCATGCACTTGCTAGCTGTAATGCTTTATAAATATGTTATTTTTCTCTGTTTTCTACATTAATCTTGCTCATTTTTTTTACATTATTCCGAGGGGGACACAAAGAAGTGGTTGTATTTTAGTCAGCTAATCTTTGTAGAATGAATTCTTTATTTATGTTTCCTAACTGGGGACCTAGATGTGGTTCTCTGTTCAACATTCATATTAGCCTATTCATATAATCCCTACCGTGAAACAGGTGAATGCTGGAGCAAACATGTAATTTTATGTCTAAATGACTGATAGAGTGCCCTGTAAGTCCTACCGACACTGATATGAAAATCTAATTAACACCAACAAGCGGTATAATTAAAAAAAGAAGAAGATTAAGGAACATTGAGCAGATACAGCAGTGTGTATTTTACTCTAATCCTGCTCTAGTCTCTGCTCTGCAGAGACAGATGTGTCATTGCAAGGTACACAACAAGACCTGGATGTTAATGTTAATTGGATTTTACAGGATTTCAGACATGTTATTACTTTGTGTGGCCTTGTTTCAAACCCACAGACATGTTAGAATAGAAATCTCCATGCTTGCAGTCAGCTGGTAGTGGCAGGATTTCTGTAGAAGAAGAATCTGTGCACTTCACTGTGAATTGATTGAGCATTGTGTGAAATGAAAGATTTGATGCAGTAATTACTTAATCGTTTATCTTTTGTCTAAATAGATGTTATTACATTGTTTTCTTTCACACACCAGTGAAGTTAAGGGACCGTCATTGTTATTCAGCTCTCTGTATCCTCCTCTGATGAAGCCTCGAACGTCTTCATAGTCTGTGCCCCACACACACACACACACACACAGTTTCCATCACTAGTTGTAATGCGAAACAAAAAGAAAAGACATTTTCTTTATGGCAGTGTAGTTTGGCTCCTAATGAGGACATCGCACTGCGCTTACCTGCACCAAATGTGGGTCTACACTCACTGGCATCAATGAGGCCCAGCAAAGCCAGCGAACCCCAGCCCAGGTAATACACGTGCCTGCTGCACCGCAAACTGAAACACAGCCAGACGCACATCAGACTGAAACTGCCGACCCGACATGAAAAATGTCACGGGGGGAAGTTCAGAAGCTTTCTCTACTCACAGCAAACAGATTGCCAAAGGAAGCTGTGAGTATGGCAACATGTTAAGTATCTGTAGTCATTTTTGCTTCTATGCTTTTTGTGCTGATTCATTAACTAATTCAGTTGTCACCTGCACTAACTGCTAGAACCAGTGTGCTGCTATAAATCAACATACTTCGTTTTCTTTTTCAGTGAGTTTCGAGGCGTCAGTTAAAGATGTCGGATGAGATGTTTTACCTTTCTCCCGCTGCCTCCACCAGAGTAGTGATGCCATCAGTCTGAGAGTACGTGACAGCCAGAGTTCTCTCATATGCCATCATGTGCTGCAGAACACCACTATTGAACAGACACAAAAACAAAGCACAGAGTGCAGATTTTTGTGTCTATCATCATGCCAAACAGATTCTCTTTTCTGTAATGACCTCTAGAGGTCAGCAAAACCCAATAAAATACGCTGTGGTGTCCTCCAATACACATAACAGCTTTTCTATGGGCTCAAAATGTGGTCATAAATATTTTGTACTTGTAAATCGGTTTTGTATGTGTAAAAAAAAATTGTGCGTGCGTAAAAAAGATTTTTCAAAAAAAGCGCCCCTCCGACAGCCAAACCCATCTGTTCTCTGATTGGATTATTACATTTGTGATTGACATGACATTGACCAATAAGATGAAAGGAAGAAAAATAGGGTCAAAATTTGTACTTGTAATTTGCAGGGTTTTTTTTAGCTAAGTCCACACACAAATCTTTTTTACACACGCACAAATTTTACACATGCAAATCTTTTTTACACACACACAAATTTTACACATGCAAATCTTTTTTACACACACAATTTTACACATGCAAATCTTTTTTACACACACACAAATTTTTTTACACATACAAAACCGATTTACAAGTACAAAATATTTATGACCACATTTTGAGCTATTGTGAGTAAAGTTGGGTTATGATGGAGACCCAGAAGTAACTGTACATTCTGTCTTTTTATTATTTTATTAAATATACATGAAACTATTTTGGTTCAGCTGTTCTTGTATAGTCTTCCAATCAGTATCAATCAATCAAAAATGATAAAAACCTATAAAAACCCTGAAAACCATAAATTTCACACCCGAGTCTCGACTCTCACAGCCTGGTATCAGACGGCCCGGTACCAAACGACTCACGGACCAGTCTCTGCCCGGGGTTGGGGACCGCTACTCTAAGCGACTGGCGTGAATAATGGGCAGAACAATTACATTCTCCTCCACTAGAGGGCAGTACAACTACCTGCTCTAATTGAATGGGTTGCCAACTGCCAGTAAAATAGAAGAAGATGAAGAAGAAATTACATAATAGTGAGACAATGCAGCGCATAATAGCAATAACTAAATATTTGAAAAGAAAAAGTAGCCAGTCTGACCTGGGTCCTGGAGAAAACTCCGACCCAGATGAAGGCCCTAGCATGAGTGCTGATCAGAAGAAAGCAAAAAAGGTATACTGGGGACAAACTGAGCCAATTCCGCTATGCCTGGTGTGAGGGAAAAAATTATCAATATGCTTTTTGTGACATTTTTGTTTGGTGGTGCGGTTCTGAAACGCTGCACTAGATGGACTAGGCCTAGTCCAAAATGTATGCTCACTTAAAGCTTGTGTTATTTATGTGGTTATTTATGTGGTCTGTGTATTTGATCGAAATCTATTGTTTCACTTAGTAGAATTTCTTTGCAACACAGGAAACTTCCATAAACATAAACTGTCAAACAAATGACACAGACTCAGGAATTTCTAGCAGATGAGAAACACGGCAGTTCATCCCCCAGGCCTAAGGAAGGCTTTAATGTGTAACTGGTAATATATGAACCAGTGGCACCATCATCTAAATCCTTACAATCCCTGAGCCATGGAGCGACCATGGCTCAGGGATTGGGAATCGCATCTGTAACCGGAAGGTCGCCGGTCGATCCCTGGGCTCTCTGTCCTGGTCGTTGTGTCCTTGGGCAAGACACTTTACCCTACTTGCCTACTGGTGTTGGCCAGAGGGGCCGATGGCGCGATATGGCAGCCTCGCTTCTGTCAGTCTGCCCCAGGGCAGCTGTGGCTACAACTGTAGTTTGCCTCCACCAGTGTGTGAATGTGAGAGTGAATGAATAGTGGTATTGTAAAGCGCTTTGGGTGTCTTGAAAAGCGCTATATAAAATCCAATCCATTATTATTACTTGTAGGCCACTTTGAAGTAGGTATACAGTGGTCCCTCGCTTTAACGCGGTTCACTTTTCGCAGCCTCGCAGATTTTTTGGGGGCAATTTTGCATGCTGCTTTTTGGGGTTTTTTGACAGCACGTTGTGTTCTGCGTCCTGATTGGCTGTAGACCATTGTCAATCAATCTCCTCCGTGCCGCGCTTCCAGTGCAGTACAGAATGTGTTCAGCTTGTCAAATTTACATAAATCATTGGTCACTAGCAGTGTGACTCTGAAGTGCTGCACTGTATGTTTGTAAGTTTTCTGTCCCTTTAGCTAATCTTGTGGCACACTTGCAACAGCAACATGCCAAGAGTTAGCATGTTCATGACATTACATGGCATATGACACATGACATATGTCTTCCAGCTTACTTATGTGTGATAGGTGTGTTGGAGGAAGTGGCAGCATGAGCAGCAGAGAAGGCAACTTCCAGGAGAATCTTAGTTGCACTGCCTCCCTTCATCCTGGAGGACCCACTGATGGCTTCGGGCTGAACAGACACACACAGTCACCAGCCAATCATAAACACACCGCTCACTTACTTTTTTGAATATAAATGCACATCAACCGTAATGTGTAGGGCATCAAGTTCAAAAGGTACAAGTACCCCAACTGCTGGGTTAATGAGGAAGGCCTTCTGGCTTTTTGCAAGTTCTTGCATCCTTTGTACCACACTGTGAAACGTGAAGGTGCAGTCTTGTATGGGCTCATCTCTACATACATAAAGACAGTTTGTTTCAAAGACAAAATGGATATTTATTCACAACTTATCACATATCATACATTCATTGCAAATATTTAAAGTCCTGTACCTGGCCTGATGTGCAGGGTTGAAGCCAACCAGCACAGGTGTGTAGACTTCAGGGTGCTGCAAGCAGAAATCCAGCTGCCCTGCCACAAATGGAGCCTATGGGGGCAGAAATCGCACACACGAGAAGTTAAGAGTTGTGAACGCCAAAACTCAAAGGTTGATCTCGAGTTACCTGCAGATTGAATTGTTTCTCAGGTATGAGCAAGGTAAACCTTATTTGCTATACACTATTCAAACTCTGACCTCAGAGCTCAGGCTGACTTACAGACAGTCCACAGGAAATGCCAATGAACAAGACTCGCTTCTTTCCCTCACACACCTGCAGAGAACAACATGCTGTGGTCAAAATGCTCTCACAAAACACAAGACACACACTCCAGGATGTCCCAGACCTTCTTCAGACTGAGCACGCCCAGTCTGGGGTCGTCTTCGGGAGCCTCTTGAGAGGAAAGCAGAGCTCTGAGGACATGAACATGTATGTGTGCATATGTCAGGTTAATTACAGGATTTTAATCAAGCAAAAAAATTGCTGCTGGTTATATTCTGTTTACACAACCCCAACTCACCTGTCTCCTCCTGCAATGATGTATGAATACACTTCACTTTGGTTCAGCTGACTCAGTGCTTTGTTGGAGCCTGACTAACAACACAAACAGACAATAAACACACAATACAGGAAGCATTTTTTTTTCCATGAGCAAGAGAGATCTGATCACATAATTTAATTAAGAGCCATTTTCCTCATATTACTGGCAGGGTCTGTTTCGTTCTGCTCTGGCTCACTGTGCACTTGATTTTCCATTATGAACGTTCAAGTAACTGATACGCTTTCCAGAAGCCTGAACAGCGCAGAGAGTATTTCAGGACAACTTTTACCGAGATCAGGAAAGCCAGCCGACCAGAAGTGCCACAACCGCTCATCACAACACAGCTCTCCTGAGGATCCTGTTAAAGACACAGAAGGCACAATAGCCTATGCCCGACTGACCGACGCAAATACAGATCCAAATATTGAGGGAGGAGAAAAAAAAGGCACCTTTATTATGACCTCCACCCTTTTAGCAACCTCCATTAAGGTTTTCACCACTTGGTCACTCAAAAGCCTCTGAAATGAGATTTAAAGAAAGAAATTCTCAAAAGGAAATTTTGAGAATACATTTTCCCATCATGAAGGCTAGTACTGATATACCTGGTAGGTCATTCCTGCCTCTTTCTGGAACATCTGGGAATCACAAACTTGTAACATCTTCACAATGCTATAGGCCGAAGCTCGGTCGATGTCACATGTCAGGGGGTTAGACTTCTCTGAAACAGGAAGTGAAGGCTCATAATCTGCGGACTAAGAAACAACAAATTAGACTGACGACTAACTGACTTCTATCTTTCAAAAGTGAATCCAACATGAAAACAATTGCATCATTTTGAAGGACCATCAAAGCCCGATCGCTGTGACTGACCTCAGGCTTATATAACAATGAGAAAAATGGCCCTCTGCCTTGACCTTCCTGATGAGTTTATGAGTTCAAATCAATCATTTCACCTCATGGTGTATAAAACATGTTCATTTTATACATGCCGGTCAGTCTCAGTGTCACGGTATCCTCATTGACTAAAGACCTGTGATTAATAAGCTGTTAGCAGTTTCACAATCACTTCTGCCTCATGCTGGTCACATCCAGTTTTCAAACAGCAAGATGGCGGCGGTAAAAGTTCTCAGCACTAAGCTTCAAAACAGGACTTTTATAACTGTTATAACTTTAAAAAAGGTGGCCAAGTAGTTAGGTCCATCTTTTATACGGTTTATTACGTACCTAGAATAAATAGATGGCATGAAGCAAACTACGTTTACCTGAGCTAGCATAAAATGAATGAAGCAAGATCCAGCAGTCAACTACTTTAGCTAGCATAAAGTAGCTAACATGAAGCAAGGATGAGCCAAATGGGGAAAACGTAAGGTTGGTTACCTTAGCTAGAATAAATACTGTACAGCACAGCGTCAGCACCACGGAAATACACGGATACATCCGTAGACTCGAGACACAATGCATTTTTGGGACTTTCAGGTGTATGGACCAATGTTTTATTTTCTGAACAAACCAGAAATCTTTAATGAGCAGCTAGATTTGTCTCGCATTAACTGGCTGAGTTAATGCCAGTTAATGTGACATCGAAGCAGCTGTAATCCACAGCTGTGTGTGTTCATGGAGCTGCATTTTCACCTGCTGGACATCACTACACCTGACAAGTTTAACTGTCTTCAGAACATTGCAGAGGCCTTATTGACAGTATTTGGCTCTAAATATCTGTGTGAGCAGATTTTCTCTCACATGAGTCCTCAGATAGCCGTCTGAATGCTGGACACTCGGAGACCCGTGTCTCTGAGTGGGAGACCAGAGATCACATAACATGTGTGTCTCTGTATTAACAAACATGCCATATTGGCTTAGTTTATTTTTCTTATCATTGTTGTGAGGAGACCATAAATAGCATTTGTATTTTCTGTTGTACAGTTCATTTGCTGTTATGGATAAAAAGTCTTTTTTTGTTTCAAAATAGCTGATAACTATTTGCTGATAGCTGCCAACATCTGCAAACAAATATAATTCTATAAAGTGGTTCTATAGATAGTGTGTAACTGTTCATATAGTGCGTTATTAAATTTATTGCTAATGCAATCATATGGCACACTGACCTCTGAGGAAATTTTAAATGGCACTCGCCATCAGAAAGGTTGCCTACCCCTGATATAGCACCTTTCAAGATAAAATCACAAAGTGCTTTACAAAGGCAAAAAACAGACATTAAGTCCACAGATCTCAAACTCAAAGGGAGCGAGTTCCAGAGTCTGGGAGCCGCTGATACAAACGCTCTGTCACCTTTTGTTTTTAACCTTGTATGCTGGACAACCAGCAACCCCTGGTCACAAGACCTCAGGGACCTGCTGGGGTGATAAGGAAGAAGAAGATCACCTATGTAAGTTGGAGCTACACCGTGCAGGGCCCTATAGGTCATGATTATGATCTTAAAATGGACCCTGAACTTGACAGGGAGCCAATGCAGCTGAATCAGCAGGAGAGTGGCATGGGAGTATTTGTGATGCTTTATCAGAAGCCTAGCAGCAGCACTTTGAACACCCTGCAGTCGTTCCAGGGAAGCATTGCTTAAGCAAGTAAACAAGGAATTACAATAGTCTAAGCGAGATGAAACAAAAACATGAATAATCATTTCCAATTCGGAACGTGACACAATGGGACTCAGCTTAGCGATATTTCTTAAATGGTAAAAACAAGAGCGAACCAAAGATTTAACGTGTGTCCAGCGTCAGAGCTGGATCAAATGTAACACCAAGGTTCCTAATGGAGGATTTAATATAAAAAGTAAAAGGGCCTATATTATTAACCAAGAGGGGAACAAATTTCTCAGGAGCAAAGACAATGACTTCCGTTTTATCAGCATTTAGTTGAAGGTAATAATTACCAGCCATCCACTCTCTAACGGAATCTAAGCAGGACTGCAAGATTTGGAGCTTAGAAACATCAGGTGGCCTAAAAGAGATATATAGCTGAATATCATCTGCATAACAATTATATGAAATATCAGAGAAAGAGCTAAGAAGTTGCAGAAGAGGGAGTAAATACAACAAAAACAATAACGGTCCCAAGACAGAGCCCTGAGGCACCCCATAGGCAAGAGAGCTGACGGAGGATCTGAACGTAGAGGCAGCCACAGAGAAAGATCGATTTGACAAATAGGATTTAAACCATTCCAATGCGGTACCCGATACACCCACCCAGTGGTTTAATCTATCTAACAAAATAAGATGATCAACAGTGTCAAAAGCAGAGGTCAGATCCAGCAACATCAAAACAGTGCACTCTCCAGCATCATAATTCATCAAAATATCATTATCTCAAATCAAATCACTTTTATTGTCACATCACATGTGCAGGTACATTGGTACAGCACATGTGAGTGAAATTCTTGTGTGCGAGCTTCACAAGCAACAGAGTTGTGCAAAATACAATAATGTAAACAAGCAAAATACAAGAATGGCTACATCTGAAACTAATAAATATATGTACAATATATAATAGTATATGCATTTCTGGATGTGTATACTAAATATTTTTCTACGTGTGTGTGTGTGTGTGTGTGTGTGTGTGTGTGTGTGTGTGTTGTTACACATATTTTACAAATTAAATAGAGTAAACAATAAATAAAATATATAAAAATATACAGAGTTGAGACATGAACTAGACATAAGAAGTGCAGTTTCGGTAGAGTGAGCCTTACGAAAGCCAGATTGAAATTTATCAAGAATGTTATGTTCATCTAGAACAACTGTGAGTAGCTTGGCCACAACCCTGTTGTCTGATATTGAAATTTGTTTGATGATCTGAACTAAGTGTAACAAATATGGACAAAAAAGAAAAACTTTTTTACAGCACTGCATAAAGAAATGAGATGTGGATCACGATTATAGTTGCCAACTGTCCCGTTTTAGCCGGAACATCCCGTATAATGAGCAAAATATAATATATTGACCTTACGAATATCAAATCTGATTTGACTGCAATTGTATCAGACGAGTGTTTTATAGTGTTTGTGCCCAGTTAGCGACGGTCCCTGACGAACAACATGTATGAGGAGTAATGCGTGATTCGTAAAATTACGACTCCGTTTGGTCTCCGTAGCATAGAAACTAGTGATGGTGAGATGAAGCCTCATGATGAACTGAAGCTTTCCATCCAATTGGTCGACTCATGGTTCGAAGCATTGTGATGATTCATTTGCTCTACTGCGCCATCAAGTGGACAATTCAAGTGAAGCGGGCTCTTTGATTATAATGATGTGTAAACCTTATGTACATCTGGATAATGACACAAACTAGTGTTTGGTGCTTCACTTTTTAATAAACTAAAAGACAGAAATCAGATTATAGGATGTGTAGTGTTGTTTATTTATATTTTGGTGTTTATCATTTGTGATATTTATTACTGTGTGCATACTTTATTAGGAGAGACAAAATTTAAAAAAAAAAACATCTCTTCCTTGCTGGTTCCATCGAAGAAGAAATGCACAAGTAACTATGTAGCACGTACGTAATCCAATTCCACAACACGGTGTGATGGGGAATCAGCTGTTTTCCTGCCCATGTTATTTCGAATCTGGCGCGAACCGGTGAACCAGTCCCTGAATCAGTCACGTGGTACGGACTGCCCGCGAGGCCTCGAACGTCACTGCATACGTAATCAACGCAAGCCTCGATACGCGCTTCAGAAAAACGCCCCCGCGATTACCCGACGCACGATTCGAAGCTTCGACACACAGGACACATCACTAATAGAAACCTGGCTAATTGATGCCTGTATTTGCAGTATTTGATTTGAATATTTTTTTATTTTTTGCTTGTTTGTGATTTCTGTCATCATTTACTGCATTTTTCTTTATTGATTTAGATGAGGTATTGATTAACCGAATGCCAAAGTTTTACTGTATTTTTACTGTAAGAATATGAACACACAGTGCATATTTACACTATGCCCAGCTGGCTGTGCACGCCAGAGTCTCCATTATTTGATAGTTTAAAAGTTAGCAACCCTAATCAAGACTTTTTCACAATAATGTATCAAACCAAATCCTGTCTGTAGCTATACAAAATATTTACCACTATATTTACTGTCAAAAGCGGTGTTAACCTTCTCATCTAACTCTTTGCAGGAAAAGAAATCACTTCCCTAAATAGTCCGCCGATTTCTATAAACTTACTTCCCATTGACGTAAAGTGGAAACACCATAAGTCCAGTCTAATCCTGCCATTGTCCACTTTATCTGGCAAAAATGGTCACTGGTAACGATTTGCAGAGAAAACAGAAACTGCGAGCGAAAGGGGGAAGTGGGCGGGACCCGATTTAACTTTGCTCAACTTCCAGGCCAACTGAAAAGTGACAACGAATGAGAATGAAGAATGCCGTGGATTGACACATGACCTGGTAGTAAATATAATAGAGGGTCACCCAGGCAACAGCAGCTTGGAAAGTCTCCGTCAGCTTCAAAACGATACGTGAGGAACGAATCGCTTCGTGCGTGGAGGCAGCTACAGTCCTAACAAACGCTCCAGCCTGTCTGTTTGTTTACAGCATCTCAGAATAAAAACCACAAAGGGCACCGCTCTGTCTGTAGTAGCAAAGTTCACCTACTTGACCTTTGAGACCGGGAAAAGGGAAACACACACACAATCACCACTATGAGCACCTGTGTGTTTATCTGGCAAATGTCATTCCTGAAAATAAAGTGTAGCCGTCTCTCTTTAACGGAACCAACGATCAAACATTTCCGATCCCTGGTTTTAAATCATGCTGCCACAGTAGCAGTTAACATGGAGATCAAACTGAAAGCTCAGCATTAGAAAGTCTTTGATCTCAGCTCCGAGAGTGCTGGCGCAGTTTAAATAAGAACCTCTTCTTCCATCATTATCCAACATGCTTTTCAACCCTACAACGTACCAAAAGACCCAACTGATTCTCAGCAGTGAAAATATTTACACCACAGCAGATTGTGGAGTCTAATATATTTCATCACTCCTCCAAACTCCCACCAGTCTCTCGTTGCTGCCGGCTAATTGCTGTCAGCGACACTGCAGAGAGGACATTTTTCACATCATGTTCCATCAACAAAGAAAAGACTAATGTTATTTCTCCTCGCACTTCATAAATCGTGTCGCCTCTTTTCTCTCTCTCTCCCACATGAAGTGAATTAGAATTTTCAGGGAAGGCCTGTGACTTTGTAGTGATGCATTTGTACTTCTCATTAATGGCTCACACTGTTTATTAAAGATACCAGACATCTGAAGCACAGTTTGACTCAATCAAATATGACTCAGTCCAACACCAGAGCTGTGCGTGGGTCTCTGTGGGAAGTCACAACCAGGACATGTCTCCACCATAGTTTGTTGGCTGCACCAACTCAGGATATTGAGGGGTAAAACGACAGCTACAAACAGCAGAGCTCAGCTGTTCAAAGGAAAAACAGGATTACGTGATTTGATACAATCAGGTAATTTAATCTAGTTACCTCGATCAATCCTCCAGTTTCTGTTGTTTAAATAATTTAAATCGGATAAGGATTACTTTGATCCAAAATATTAGGAGTACTCTGATCCCAGCAGAGGGCTGGATTCAGACTGGATTGCAAAGGAAACGTGAAATAAAAACTCAAAATGTTCTCAGCAAACGGTGTAAAAATAGTGATGCAATTCTCTTAACTCTGACTTTCTACACTGCTCAAAAACTTACACTTTGAAAATACATCAGCTCTAAATGGGAAAAAATCATGCTGGATATCTATGCCGCTGTGAACTGTGTAATAGAATGAAAGATGCCACATTGTTTGATGGAAAGTATCAAACTACAGGGCATTCAAAGATACTAAAAAAATCAAAGTGAAAAAATGATGCAGCAGGTTAGTCCATTTTTAGGAATTTCATTGGAGCAACTTAAAATGCTAATCAGTAGTTTGTATGGCCCCCACATGCTTGTATGCCTGCCTGACAACACTGGGGCATTCTCCTAATAACACGGCGAATTGTGTCCTGAGGGATCTCCTCGCAGATCTGGATCCACTGAGCTCTTGGACAGTCTTTGGTGAAACCTGGCTGTGTCAGATGTACCAAAACATGTGTCTCAGAGGTGTTCTGTTGGATTTAGGTCAGATGAGCATTAAGAACAGTCAATGGTATCAATTCCTTCATTCTCCATAAACTGCCTGCATATTTGTGCCACATGAGAGCAGGCTTTGCTGAACATCAGGAGGAACTCAGGACCCCCTTCACCAGTGTAGGGTTTGACAATTGGTCCAAGCATTTTTATACCTATTATACCTAATGGCTCTCAGGGTGTCGTAGCTTAGCTTGTAAAGGTCTGTGTGTCTCTCCATGGATATGCCTCCCCAAACCATTACTGACCTACCACCAAACCGGTCATGCTGAACAATGTTACAAGCAGCATCTCAACAGCTTCTCCAGACCGTGTCACATCAGTCACAAGTGCTCAGGATGAACTTTAACTCATGTGTGAAAAGCACAGGGCACCAATTTCAATTCAGTTTATTTATACAGCACCAAATCACAACAGTTGCCTCAAGGCGTTTTATATTATAAGGTAGACCCTACAATTGTCGTGGTCTGGGTGAGTGCTGGGGTTTTTCCACTGAGTCACAGTTCCACCCCTGGGAGGAGTCGCTGCTTTCCTGCATGTCTCCACACCTGCTGGCAATTGAACTGCCAGTACTTAAGACCAGTGCTCATCACTCCTCTTCACCAAGTATTCAGCTAAGCACAGTTAGTGCTGGTCACCATAGTGGGTCACTGAAAGAGATTTTGTTTGTAAGAGGATTATATCCAACCTGTGCTTTTTCTTCCATCAGCTATCCTGTTGTCTGCCACCTCCATCTCCTGGCAATACACGCTTTCATCCTGAAGCTGGTTTGTGCTTGGCAGCTCTTTGCGTCACAACACCTCTCGGATTCACCCACCTGCCTGCCCTCCTGTCACAGTACTCAATCGGACCACCATCTCCTGGAGACCAAAACTGCTCACTCGGACCACTCACCCCTTCCTTGCCATTCCTCCACCTGCCAAAGTAAGAATGTTTCTTTATGGTTCATACTCACCAGGATTTACAGATTCGGTCACTAAAACTTGTCTCCTCTCATTCTAGTGTTCAGAGCCTCCAGGTCATGTTTCCTGAAGGCCAACAAAGATACCCAACTCATTTACTTTACCGGGTAAAGTAAATCCAACCTGCCGGGACTGTTTGGGGGCAATCTGCTAATTCTGGTATTCTGTGGCAAATGTCAGTCATCCTCCATGGTGCTGGGCAGCGACCAGGGTCCACTAGAGGAAATTGGGCCGTTAGGCCACCTTCATGAAGTCTGTTTATGATTGTTTGGTCAGAGACATTTACACCAGTGACCTGCTGGAGGTCATTTTGTAGCTCTAACAGTGCTCATCCTTTCCCTCCTTCACAAAGGAGCAAATGTCGGTCCTGTTGTTGGGTTAAGTACCTTCTCTGGTCCTGTCCAGCTCTCCTGGAGGAACTGTCTGTCTCCTTGAATCTCCAAAATGCTCTCGAGACTGTGCTGGGAGAAACGGCAACCCTTCTGGCAATGGCATGTATTAATGTGCAATCCTGGAGGAATTGGACTGCGTGTGCAACTTCTGTAGGATCCAGGTATCGCCTCATGCCAACAGTAGGGACACTGACCCTATCAAAATGCAAAACTAGTGAAAAAAAAATAGTCCGAAAAGATGAGAGAGAAAATGTCAGTGGTCTCCAGCTGCAAAACCATTCCTGTTTTAGAGGTCGTCTCATTGTTATCCCTCTAGTGCCCCTGTGGTTCATTTCATTAACATCAAAGCAACTGAAACTGATTAACAACCCCCACTGCTCCCTAAATAACCAGTTCAATATCCCAGAAGTTTAACTAGCTTGATGCTATACTCTGACTAAAAAGGGTTCCTTTAACATTTTTAAGCAAGCTATTTAGAACTTTAGGAGTTTTTATTCATTGCTATCATAAAGAAATTAAATATACAATGAGCTGTGAGCATTGTGGTAAGGTCGAAACATGCAAGTTTTACAGTACATGCTTTCTGAGGCTCTGATCTCTGATGATTAATGAATGTAAAAGTCTCTTAAGAAATTAACTAGTTTTGCATTTAGCTAGGAGTGAAGACTTCTTCTCTGGAGAGAAGAATAATCTGGGTTTGACGGTTGTCAGAACGGTATCTGTCTGACTGCAGTGCGCCAAGTGTAAAGTTTAATGGAGGGGATATAATGGTGATGGACTGTTTTGTTTTCAGGAGCTGGGCTCAGCTCCTTGTTCCAGTGAAAGGAACTCTTAATGCTTCAGCATACCAAGACATTTTGGACAATTTCATGATCCCAATTTTGTCGGAAAAGTTTGACTCCCTTCCTGTTCAAGCACAACTGCACACCAGCACACAAAGCAAAGTCCAGAAAGACTTGGATGAGTGAGTTTGGCGTGGAAGAACTTGGCTGGCCTGCACAGAGTCCTGACCTCAACCCAACAGAAAACATTGGGGGGGGAGTTGGTTTAGGGCCTGGATGGCTTGGGGATAGAAGCTCCTCTTGGGTCTCTCTGTTCTTGCCAGGATGATGCGGAACCTTCTACCAGATTGCAGAAGTTGGAACAGTTTGTTGCCAGGATGGAACGGGTCCTTCAGTATCTGCGCTGCTCTAGTCCGGCAAATCCTGGTGTAGGTGTCCTGAAGCGGTGTCAGACTTGAACACAGGCTGGTATGTGGTTGCCTGCTCACCAACTGAGCTAAACTGGCACCAGAGTCAGGCCTTCCTGACCTCTTAAATGTACTTCTGAACGACTGGTCAATGGTTCCCATAAACACTGACTTAAGCCTTCTCCGAAGGATTGAAGCTGTTATAACTGCAAAGGGGGAGCGACATCATATTAAACCCTGTGGATTAAGAATGGTATGGATAATTTGGAAAAGGCAATTCTTAGAAGTCTTGACTAGACTCATTTTGATTCCTGTGTCTTTAGGATTTCCCTCTCTTAAACCCTATTTACTTTCACTGTCCAACTTCCAGATGCGTGCCAAAGAGCAGCCATTGCAACTCATTGTGTGATCACTTACTAGCTGTACTTCCTGGTGTGCTGTGCCTAGCAGATGACTTTAAGAAGGAAGCCATGAGCTCGTCACAAAAAAAACAAACATTTACCATTTTAAACTTTGGCCGTATTTTTGTTTGAACATCTAACAGTGTGAGGTACTTTTGGCTGTTCTGTTATTTCCCAAGAGGTCACCACAGCAGAGGAATCCACAGGTTTGATTTTGCACAGATTTAATGGTGCTGTCCTCCCATTTTCCCAGGCTTGGGACCACCATCGGGAGTATACCAGGTTGTGACCAATAATGCTAGGGTTATGTTTCCCAGACTAAAACTGGATTTATTTCGTGTGAATGGCGTAGTGTAAACCACTACACCACAGAGCCATCTAAGCATCAGACAGTGTAGCATTATAAATATGCTAAAAAAAGACGTCCTACTTCAGTCCTTGTTCAAGACTCTCATCCTTTTGTAGGGTGGCTGTAGCTCAGGCGGTAGAGCAGGTCATCTACTGATCGAAAGGTTGGTGGTTCGATTCCTGGCTTCCCCTAGTCTGCATGCCAAATATCCTTGGGCAAGACGCTCTCCGATGCATCGGAGTATGAATGTGTGAATGTTAGCTTTAAAAAAAAAAAAAAAAAAAAAAAAGCACTTGGACAAATGTGCTTGGGTGAATGCACAAGTTGTATAAAGCACTTTGAGTGCTCAGAAGATTAGAAAAGCGCTATATAAGCGCCAGTCCATTTACCATTTTTGCTTTTACTCATGGATATTCCTATTAAATAACCACAGCAAACCTGTGGGATGTGGCAGAGGTCACATTACAAACAGGGTTGGGAGAACAGGAAGTTAATGAGGAGCCACCAGTTCATTTTTCCCTTGGGCCACCCTATCAGGTTAAAAAATATAGATTTGTTCTGCTGCATATTTCTGTGAATAGTAGAAGTTCAATTTGGTTGCCAGATAGATAATTTACTTCTCAGATAAACAGTCTTAAAGGAACAGGGAAGTGTCAGAGGCTTTATTTCACACACTTAAACTAAAACTAACTCAATTTTAATTTGTAGGAACCCAAGGATCAGTGGTCAGTCAGAGCTGACTCTTTAATTAACCTAACTGATGATGATCTTTCCCCACAGAGCTGGAAACAGATGGTGAAGGAGGCAGAAATGCACAGGACATTATTACATTTCTTATTCTTGCAGGACAAAAACGGCCTTCTAGTCTATCCAGGTCTCTCTTTACTGTCTTGAATTGGCACAAATCTAACATGCCACTTAAACTGTAAATGTCTGCATTTGTGTCTGTGGTGGCAGAGTAGAGAAGCAGCTGTGCTGCATTTTTCACAAACTGAACACAGCGTCCCCACTGAATGAATCAGCAGCAGACTCGTTGACCAGCTGATAACAGTGTCTGAATTTGTACATCCTACAGTCTGAGGAAATCAAGCACAACGTGTCTTGTTCTCTTCTTGCCTCAGCTGCTGAGTACAGTCAATTTCCTTCTATGTCTGCTCATATTGTCTCTCAGCAACTACAGGATGTTTACTCTGGCTTTCAAAACTGACATGTTTTCGAACCTGTTCACAGAAGCACCTCGTAAATAGTAAATTCACCTGAGCTAACCCCTGCATTCAAAACAGAGGGGTTAGCTCAAGGTCAGTGTGCACTGTCTGACTGCAGTAGGCAGCGGTTCACTGACCTTGACAGCAAACTATAAAAGGCCCTTCGATTTTGAAGGAGCTGCAGGATCTCCTTCTCATCATACTTATTCCCAGTATGATTCTTAATTCTTGACAAATTATCCACCCCGGAGGAGCAAGAAAGCCATTAACACGTAAGTGGCTCTTCATATTATCAACCATAAAACCCTGGAAGAGAAAATTGTTCGTGTGGAGGGGAAAACATGTTGTTTCTTGGAGCTCTGCTGTAATTTCTTGTGTGACATTGTCACCAAGTCAAACACAAACCAGTGTCGGGTACTGTAGAACCTCCCTGAATTATAATGCAACATTCTTTATTTAAAATACTTTTTATGGATGTCTCCTCTCTAACTTTGCCTTTTTTTTTTCTTCAAGTTCAATTAGGAGCCAATGGAATGAAAGCAAGATGCAGTTTTGTAATATAAAAAAAAAATCAGTTTCAAACTGCTTCTGTAAGGCGAACAGAACAAATATGAAGTGATCAGCTATGGCTGTAGATTTACATCCACAAAAGGTGTGTCTCTAGATGTGCTGTTTTTTTTGTTTTGCATTTTTTGTTTGTTTTTGTTTTTTCTCCAGACAGCTCTCTCTTGGCATTTAAGAGGTTTACATTTTATACAGTCATCCTGAAATAGTGGTATATTTAAAAAAAAAAAAAAAAAAAAAAGTCCTACACAAAATAAACCTTTACTTTATTCTTCACTATAGTACAAAGACAATTATGATGCTTTTTAAACTTTTTTTTTATTATTATTATACGGTCCTTACAATATAAAACACCTTAAGGTGACTGCTGTTGTGATTTGGTGCTATATAAATAAAACTGAATTGAATTTACACACTGACACCTCGAGTTATTGTTGGTTTCACCTTAATCAGAGATTTTATTTGCTTCTGTACACATGTCAGAAGGTTTTTGAGCAAGACTCTGAATTCCAAGAACCAAAAACATTACAGATTCTGCGAAATGAATGTTCAGGATAGATAGGAGGGATAAAGAGATGCTTACCCGTGAATTTATCTGTAATAATAACCTTGTCCTAAAATGGATAAAACAGAAACAAGACACAAATTTGTTTGGCTGATGACTTCTGCTCAGGCTCAGCAGTGAGATCGAGCTACAAAATTATGGTGCGATGGCATGTGCTCCTGTTGGAACCACAAATCTTTAAACTTTGTTTGTTGTTTAACAAAAAAGCATTGTTGTGGGCCTGGGTACTGGGACCTGGTTCAGCAGAAGAGGGGCCTGTGAACTGAAGACTCTGCCTCCCATTCGACTTTTAAATATCCTGGGAACTACAAGTAAACCTCTCAATCTGAGAGCAAAGTTGGATGATATGGTACTACGAGGTCCTTAAGACAAGATGGGGTCTGATTATTCAAGACCTTGTCTGTCAAGAGAAGGAATTTCAGTTCAATCTTTTCATTGACTCAACAGGGAATCAATGAAGAGAAGCTAATGTGGGGGAAATATGCTTTCTCTTTTTGTCCCAGTTAACTAAAGATGCTGTCTTTCAAATCAATTTCATCTTATGGTTCTTCTTTTATAATATTTCCACTTGGATATGCCATAAGTCAAACATGTAATGGGATGTAAACCTGAAAATAACTCTGTAGATGTTAAGAGGTAAAGTGATATCTTGAGTGCAGAACATTTATGTAAATTGAGTCGATATGCATAGCTACAGAGCAGGATTGCCACTGGATCTGAACACAGTTTACCACCACTGTAGGATTCTATTTAGAGGCTGAAAGTTGTTAGCATCCTCCCCGGTAATCCTCCCTACTGTGCTTACATCTTCAGCAGGGTGATCTCTATCTAGAGCCAAATGACAACCCACTTTGGATGCATTTTTTTTCCACCGGTCTGTGCACTGTAAGCACAGACCGGTGGAAACTCTGTGCTCACCACTGCAATCAAGCGCACGTCTCTTGCTGTTAGATTTGTAATCAACTTCATTTTCCGACTCAGCTTTTCCTCTAAGCTGCACAAATCACTGTCCTGTACGCTGAATGGAATGAGCTGAATTGTCTAATTACATCTATATCTCATCTAGCTCCCTCCACAGTCACAGCCACATTAAACTTCCTATTTGTGTCCTCATGATTCCCATCAGCTCAGAACAAGGCCACTGTTTTGATCTTCTGAAGTTCACTGCTGATGTAACTACCGCTTCCTCTCCTTTGTCTCGAGCAAATCATCGGCACGCGTTTGATCTCAAGTCTTCTGGCATCTTTGCAAACTCATTGGGATAAATATTGTATAGGAGGCTGCAGCTGCGACCTCAGCTGATTCTCTGCCCTTTTCCAAAAGACCGGGTGGAATTACCCTCGAGTCCAGGTGTTACGACCTGTATGACTAAATACCTCGAGTGTTGCTGTCACTCACTCACTCCTATTGCTCACATGCAAATGGCTTTACAACCATCTCCCTGTCCTTCAGCCAGCCACGGTTGTCATGACAACAGAGCGGCTAATCTCCAGTGGACAGAGAGAGAGAAAGAAAGTGCATGAGCTCGCACAGAAACGTGCTTCTGGGGACGCGGAAAAGGCGTGCGAGTGCGATGAAGAGATGCAGTGCACGCTTGCTTACGTCTGTGTGTGTGAGAGAGAGAGAGAGATTGTGTGAGCTTTTTTTAAAAATAATAATGGAATATGATTGGAAAGAAAACACACATGTTCTCCATCCCACTGAGAATTCCTAAATCAACTCTTCCCTTCTTCCTTTTAAAAAAAATTCTCTCCTCCCATTTTCCCTTCTCCTGACCTTCATCATCTATATCTACTTCCCCATCCTAACTTCTTTCCATTTAAATCTCCTAAATGTGCTCATTTTTAATGTCATTTCGTTGTTTTGTTCCACTCCGTTTCACCATACATTTTCTGGCCTTTTCCCCCTCTTCTACCTCTGACACAACCTCTTCATCCCGTCAACAACAATTCCTTAATCTTCCACACTCATCCTCTCTCTCTTGCATTCATCCCGTCAGCCTTTTCATCCTCTCAAACTGCTTCAGCTAAACCTTCTTTTCTATCTTTGTCTCTCTCTCTCTCTCTCTGCACACCTCCTTTCATCCATGCTCTCATTTCTACCCCCCTCCGTCTCCGCGCATACATATACAGTGTCCATCCATTTCCTCGTGTTCCTAAATCCTTCCCTCTCTGGCACCATGGTTGCCTAGCAGGGATCTCTCAAACGCACATATGTTAGGGCTGATTAGGCTGGCACAGCCACTGGGCGCTCGGCCCACTGGAGGAGATGATGGAGAGATTCGTGGAGAGTGTGAGGGAGTCATGGAGAGCTGTGAGTTGTGGGGTGGGAGGGGGGGTATTGATTGATTGAGCGTCAGTTGCTGGGAATTTTTTCTTTCCAATGAAAAACTACTTGGAAAAACAGTTCATATGTTCCCATACAGTGCACGACCATAGTCCGTGTGCGCGCGCTCGCTCGAGCGTGTGTGCGGATGTGGATCGGGGGGTTTGAAGTTGTTATCCGGTAGAGGGCGGAGTGAAAGTGTAAGAGAACGTGAGGAGAGGGGAAGCAGGAGCTGCAGAGGGCTGGAGCTGCGGAAAGGAACGGAGCGGACATGGGTGGCAGCGGACGCCGGGCATCTGCAGCCTGAGTGCGGGGGGCAGGAGGAGCAGGAGGGCCTCCAGTTGACTGAACAGGAAGGTTTACATTAGCAGAGCCGCAGTTAAAGAGAATAGCCTGCTGTCCGTTTAGCGCCTACACACACACACACACACACACACACACACACACACACACACACACACACACACACACACACAGACACAGAGTCACTCACACATCTTAAGAACAGCGGGAGATGCATTACGTCATAGCCTCTCATTGCCCTAGATGACCGCGCGCGCAGGACGGGGAGGATGCGGGGCTGCCGGACTAGAACGGTAACAGATTCCGCTGCTGCTGCTGACCGCGAGCCCCCGGCGGGTGTGTGTCGGCCGGTAGAGAAAGAAGAGGAGCCGCCGTCGCGCGGCCGCCGGCTCTGATGGCTCCTCGCGCCCGGGGCGGGAAAGAGTCACAGCAGTCGCCGCGGAGCGAGAGGGTAGGGGACAGCAGGTATCTGGGAAGTGACGTGGTGTCCGCGCCCCACAAGAAAGCAAAACGGTGCGTTTGTCGTGCATCTCGCAGGAGGGCAGGAGCGGGAAGGCGAACATGGCCGCACAGTCCGACGGCGGCAAAGCCGGGGTCGGGTGCGGCGGCGGCGGGGGTTTCGCCCAGCTCTATGATGTTGACGCCGAGGAGCCTCTGGACTCCGCGGCGATCCACATCTGTCAGTGCTGCCGCTCTTCCGCTTGCTACTGGGGCTGCCGCTCAGCTTGCCTCGGCTCTCTGCTCGGCGGGAGTCCGCCTGCCGGAGGGGTCGGCATCCGGGAGACTCACTGCCCGCCCCGGGAGCAGCTGTGGCTGGACTGCCTCTGGATCATCCTTGCCCTCCTTGTCTTCTTCTGGGACGTCGGCACGGACCTGTGCCTGGCGATGGACTACTACCAGAGGCAGGACTACCTCTGGTTCGGCCTCACTCTTTTCTTCGTACTGGTGCCCTCGGTACTGGTCCAGATTCTGAGTTTCCGATGGTTCGTGCAGGACTACACCGGCGGGGGGCTCGGGGAGGTCGAGGGGCTGACCAAGCGGGGCACGGTGGTTCTGGGGTGCCTGTATCCTGGAAGGGACCGCCTGCAGCTGGCCACTATCTGGCTGTGGCAGGCCACCATACACATCCTCCAGCTGGGACAAGTGTGGAGGTAAGAGGGGGAGGGGGGCAACACAAACACACCTGATCCTTCTCTCGCTCTCTCTCTCTAACAGGCTCACAAAAACTTAATGCTCCTAATGAGCAGAGCAGGGTGTCCACTTGATGTGGCTACTAGAAAAGACAGCTCGCTTCACAGTGACAGGCAGGAGAGAAAAGCGAGAGGAAGACATGGAAAGGCTCTCTGCGACTCCCTCTGTGCTTCAGTTGCTGTATGGGAATGACAGGAAGATATTAAGAGAGACAGTCAGGAGAACAGAGAGCCTGATTTCACACACAAACTCTGATCTGTTGAAACTTTTCATTTCTGACTCATCCTATGAAAAGCTAATTCAGCAACTCGCTGACCGCCCTGCAGTAAGAAAGAGTAGAATTCAGAGCTAGAACAGAACCTGAGTAAAGTATCTGCAGTTGCAGAGTAGCTACAGTTAAGCCTTCACACAGTGTAAAGAAACAAAGTGAGCCACATCCTTCAGAGTGTGTGTTTTAAGGGCTGACCGAAGCGCTCTCCATGGTGCTGAACAGATTCCCAGCATTTCCAGCTTTTGGTCAAGGCTCTTCCCTTCTGAAATGTCAGCATGCCTTTGCGTGTATCTGTGTGTGCGCTGACACATGTCAGCACGTGTGTGTGAACAGTGGAAAAACGGTGTCAAGGCTCTTCCCATGAGTGTCAGCATGCATGGAGAGTACAAAGAGGAAAAGCATCTGCGCTTCTGGCAGCACATCTCTCTCTCTCTCTCTCCCTCTCTCTATATATCTCTCTCACACACACACAGACACACACATATATTCCCACAGTTGGACAATGTTAGGTGTTAATTGTGCTAAAAGCACTGTTGGGGGAAAAACTGAAATACACACATTTCTTTTCATTGTGGGCTTCTTGCCTCATATAAGCATGCAGCTTGGTCTACACACACAAACACACACACTGTAGTTATAGAAGTAACACAAGTGCGCTGTTTGTTTGTTTTTTTCCAGTTTCCCAGTCTATGTAAGGACAACGTTTGCTCTCTTCCCTCCCTCCTCTCTCTTCTCTCTGAGAAGACTTCTTAATGGTGTCCACTTGCCCCTGGGTGGGCAGCAGGGAGAGTAGAGTAGTGTGTGTGTGTGTTTACGTCCTACTATGCTGATGTGCTACACAGCTTCTATGCTTTGGTTGTAGGGTTAAATCAACCCCTCTCACACCCATACACACTTACCAGTATTTGTCCCCCCTTGGCCCTCAGAATGGACTCTCCCACCTGGAGGAAGGGCCGGATGGGAAGGAGCATAGAGAGAGGGTGGGGGAGAAGAGGGCGAGAAAGGGTGGTTATAGCTGGGGAAATTGAGAGATGGAGAGGCCGTGGAGAGGGAGAGATGGGGGGGTGAGGACATGCACAAGTGGAGTGAAAAAGAAGGGGGAGGGGAGAAGAAGGAGAAGTGAGAGTGGTGGGGGCAGGGTGGGCTGGATGGAAGATCAGCTGTACTTGGTTTGAGACCACCTCCTTCCATGTCAGTCCATTAAGGAGCTTGCCTGCTACACTCAACACTGCAGACCAGAGCTCCTGTTTACAGAAGCCAAACAAATGATACTGATTATTTATCCTTCACTGCTCTTGAGTCAAGGACACACATCCTTCTGGCCTTATTTTAAAACCAAAACATCTCGAAATGGTTCGTTTGGGAGGGCCGGCGTGCTGTAAATCGATGCACATGTGGGCATTTTCTTCCAGGGACGCTGCATTATTTATGGGGCGTGAATTAACCTCCAGCTCTAATAGGCGTACTGTACATAATGTAGAAGTGCACGTCTGCATGGAGGACACCCATGCATGGACTGCAGCCATGCATGGGGAAGCTGAAGGATTTTATTTTTACAGCACGTTTACATTTGTGTGCATACTCCTCTCACACACACACACACGCTCAGTGTGGCAGTGAGGCAGTTTAATTGAGATCACTGCCTACATCCCGCCCACATGTGCTGTAGTTTCCCACATCCAGCACGTATAGATCAGCATCTCTTCAAGGCTGTTTATAGAAAGGTTAAATTCAGTGTAATGAAGTAATGAAGGCTAGAAATATTCACAGCCACCAATCAGGTGAAACAGGAATAAGTCAGAGTGTTGGTTTTGATTTAGTTGCCCGATTAGGCGAAAGAACGCAAGGGAAGATGTGACCTATTAGGCTCATTTCCAGCTCCTTATTCTTATTCCTGGACTCTGGTAGAGTTCAAAATAATCCATATCTGTCTGATACGGGACCTTGATGAAGTCCACGAGTTTGACTGCCGTCTGAGACCAGCTCTTTTGGCTCCCTTTAAACCAGATTTTTCTAATTGGCCGGCCCTCCAGCAGGCGGGAAGCTGCTCGTGTGCCTTAGATGACCATATTAGGGAGATCTGCTATCAGTGACAGCATACAGATTTTTTAATTTATATTTTTTGCATCTAAAGGAGGTGTGTTAAAAATAAGGCCTGAGGGCCAGAAGTGGCCCAGCACAGGCTCCAACCCGACCCAGTGGACATCTTTGGAGGAGTCTGAAGGAGGGCGTAAATTTTGAATTTATCTATATTTTAATAAAGTTGACATCTTGTTCGCCATCCATACTACATCAAAGTAATGAAGTAATAGATTTTTTCATGATCTACTATAGAAATTTAAGTTTTTTTCAGTTTGTCCTCAGTAAAATATAATTAATTAATTAAAAAAGATATTTTCTGTGATTTAACAAAAACATTCTGCTTCAAACGTACAGGACAATCCAGAACTTTTACTGTTATTTTTACACATTTATTTCTTACATTTTAAGCCCAAAGAGTCATTTCTTTATCATGTAGAAAAACTAACATGTACTGTTGAATTTGCACTTCTTCTTTATTACATTGTGATATCGCAGAGATTTAATGTGCAGATAAACTGCTTTACACTTTGATCTTAAGTGAGTCTGGCACACTTAAGATCAAAGCAGGCCGTACATGGCCCACGACGTGAAATGAGTTTGACTTCCCTGATTGAATGTGTGTAGAAAAGCCTGACATATGCGTGTTTGCCCCTCTGAACCCCTACAGGTACATCAGGACGCTGTACCTAGGCGTCATGTCGCGTCGGCAGAAGGAGCACCAGCGGCGCTGGTACTGGGCCATGATGTTCGAGTATGCTGACGTCAACATGTTGCGTTTGCTGGAAACGTTTCTGGAGTCGGCGCCTCAGTTGGTCCTGCAGCTCTGCATCATGATCCAGGAGAACCGAGCTGAGACGCTACAGTGTAGGTGGTTGGATGGCTTTACAGACTGCACTGTACCGGCGTAATAGCATGTTTTCGCGTAGCCGGCAAACAGCATGCAAATGAGCAGCTGCTCAAGTGCTAATTATCAATTTGCACCTATTGTGCTTGATTATGTGTAGCTGCAGATGGCTGCTGGATTTCGCAGGTTTTTACTGTTGTTCAGGTTGTCAAAGATAGAAAGCGATGTGCGAGTCAGACTCCATCATCCTCCTCTTCCGTGTTGCATGCATCATCTTGGGCGGCCACCCACTGGTGTTATTCATCGCGCTCACTCTGGAGTTTTGGGACACAGTTTACCTTAATGGAAAGATGTGACGAGTACACAAGGGGGCGGATACACACGGCAGCTGGGACATTAAAAATAACTTTGTATTTGAGACTCATCATTACCAAATGTCTCGGTCGTGACACGCACTACCTCTTACTTATTGTATGCTCACACCATTACAAAAAACAACCTTCCCCCCTCTCCCTCCCTAGTGAGTCATTATAATGTCGTGTTTATACAAAACAGGAGAAGCATGGAAATCATCCACCTCTGTGTCTCCCTGCAGGCATTTCCTCCTTAGCCTCCCTCCTGTCTCTCGCCTGGGTTCTGGCCTCCTACCACAAACTGCTCCGAGACTCTCGTGACGACCAGCGCAGCATGAGTTACCGCGGGGCGCTGCTGCACCTCTTCTGGCGCCTCTTCACCATCTTCTCCCGCGTCCTCTCGCTCGCCCTCTTTGCCTCCCTCTTCCACATCTACTTCGGCATCTTCGTGGTGCTCCACTGGTGCGCCATGGCCTTCTGGGTGGTGCATGGAGGCACTGATTTCTGCATGTCCAAGTGGGAGGAGGTGCTCTTCAACATGGTGGTCGGCATTGTCTACATCTTCTGCTGGTTCAACGTGAAAGAGGGTCGGACGCGATACAGGATGGTGGCGTACTACACCGTGGTGCTGGCCGAGAACAGCATCCTGACCGGGCTGTGGTGAGTTTAGCGCCGTTTGCATTCTTTGATATCCCTGATGCAACAAGCGTAAAATCGTAAAATATGTTTTTTCATATGAATATCACAGAATGTATGCAAGAATATCCAAAAACTATAAAAGGTAGGCGTACCTCTTACTTCACAAGGAGCTACCGTAAAGGCACGCAGTGTCCTGCAGCTTCTCAGTTTCACACCTACAAGGTTCATCCAGCTTCACAAAGCTAAATGGCAATGATCTGTATAATGATCTCTTTCTAATTCTCTTATAAATGTTTTCTTCTCCTTTCTTTGTAATTTTGGAGTTTTTTATCTTTTCTATGCTGCCTGTGTTCTCTCGGGCTTTCCTTTCATTCTTTACTTCCTGTTTTATTTTGAAGGTTACTTGTTCTTGTTCTGCTGAGTATTTAATCTGTATTGTATCCTGCTCAGACTTCAAATTTATTCTGAAATGAACAAGTAAACAGACACATTTAAAGTATACCACAAGTGCTTACCAAGGCTTAGCCCATTTACAACACTAGCAAGGTAAGCCTATATCACAATATTCATGTAATAAAAGGCTAGTAAATGCTTTCTTGATGAGTTTACTGCCATACTACTTGCAACATAACTAATGGCCACATGGCCCAGGGCCAGTAAGTAGTACACCGAAAAATTGTTTTGCCAGTTGATGACAGTGTTTCTGGCAGCCAGAGTCATCACAGTCATGGCTTTATTGAAATTCATCCATCTTTTCATGTGCTCTCATCCACCACCAGCATGCTTTACATGTTTGTGCAGTCGTTTTAATATGCTAAAGCAAAAAGCTGCGTGTATGCAAACAAACTGCTAGCTTAATTTGACAGATCGCTTTAAAGTTTGGTGCCTTCCTCCTGTCCCTCTAGCAGTGCCACCTGCAGCATGCAGGGGCTTGTCTAAAATAAGGGTTACTGAGTGTACGACTCTACATTTATTTTAAAACGATGATTAGAAATTATTTTGCCGATTTAGATTATTAATATTAAGTGCAACTCCACTAATAAACCATGTTTTAAAATACACACTGGGCTACCCATCAGTAGATAAAACAATTATAATCAGATTTGGGGGACCAGTGGGAAAGATGGTTTACTGCTATAAACACGTGTAGATGTACACCGATTAATTTAACCCCTGTACTGTCACCTGTCATCCTGTAGGTATGCCTACAGAGATCCAGTGCTGACCGACTCCTATGCCGTCCTGGCACTGTGCAGCGTCTACCTGACATTCGCAGGGGGCGTCCTGGTCATGCTGCTGTACTACGGTTTCCTCCATCCTGCCACTGCCCACCTCCAGCCAAGTCCCGCCTCATCCTGCTGTGCCCAGCTGCTCTGGGGTCTCCCTCTCCCCCCGTCAGCCCCACCCACAGCCCCTCCCACACCAGCCCACATGGCCAAGTCACAGACGGAAGAGGATGTGGCCGAGACGTGTCTTCCCGTCTTCCAGGTGAGGTCTGCGCCCCCCACTTCCAAGCCCGAGGGCCCGCTTATAAAGATCGACATGCCCAGGAAGCGTTACCCAGCATGGGATGCCCACTATGTAGACAGGCGCCTGCGGAGGACTATAAACATCCTGCAGTACATAACGCCAGCCGCTGTGGGCATCCGCTATCGTGATGGACCCCTCCTGTATGAACTGTTGCAGTATGAGTCCTCACTCTGACAAACACACAAATCAGCACACACACACACATATACAGACAAGTACACAAAAGCACATGTGCACCATAAAAAAACATGTATGTATATGTGGATGTTCAGATTTAGAGAAGATTTAGAAACACGTTCATGCACAGAAAGTCACACTTGATATAAGCACATACACACACAGAAGCAATCTGTCACACTTATATGTGTGCGCACACACGCGATCACACTTACATTCCTTGCGGGCACCTGCGACCTGTGAGTCCCATGGCCATGACTCAACAAGCTGCTTCGGCGCAAGTCCGTCTCCTCCTCTCTTAAACCTTTTGTCACTCTATTTAACTTTAATCGTCCCTCACTTGGTCTCATTTCTTTAATTTCACATGTGCGCGCTCCGCTGCAAAGAAAAAAAAGTAAAAATATGAAAAATAAGCGTAGTTTTACGATGGAGTCCTTGACCACCGCAAGCCATTTATGTTGCACGCGTTCACAGGTTTAAGAAGAATAAAAGGATGTGACACAATGACGGTCACTTTTAATAAAATGAGTTGTAACATGTCGTTATTAGTCTGGTCAAAAGATAGTGTATATATTTTCTATGTACAGAGAGGATGTTTTTTAATCTGTTGTTATGTTGTTGTTGGACACATCAGTTTCTCGACATCACTGACAAGGTTAACGGGGAGAGTGGCCGAGCATGATGGAAAAGATGGAGACAAAGTGGCAGTAATGGCATCCAATGCACACTCAAACAACAATTTTTACATTTGCAGCCTCAATTTTAAAGAATCTAAAATTCTAGCTAAAGTCTCTCAGAAGGACAGTTTTAGTTTAGTAGATTTACTTGTTGTCTTGTCAAAGGCAACAAGTAAAATATTAGCACTAGAGAGTTGACTAGCTTAGCTTAGCTTAAAAAAACTGAAAACAGGTAAAAACAGCTAGCCTGGATTTCTTCTCCTAAAGTATCTAGTAGCTAGCATCTTGTCTTATTTAAATTATACAAAAAGATAAATGTAAAAAATAGTTTTTTGTGGGTTCAGAAAGTAGCCAAACCATCTACCATTAAGAATAATTGCACATTTACTTGCTCCTAAGACAGTAAAAGAGTAACTCTTCGAATTTTGGAGTTCATGTGCTTGTGATTCAAAATATGGAAACAAATTCATACTATAAAAATTATGATCAGGGCTTTTAAAAGAAATGTGTTAGTTCATACCTGACCTATCAGGGTAATCAGGGGAGTAAGTTTTCCAGCTACTCTGGGTTACTTTGTGTAGCGCAATAGTAGATGCTATGTTATAAATTCAAACTTATCTAAATAAAGAAAAGCATGTATACGAATTTGTAGCAAATGTTATTTCTATCAACAAAATAGTTACTTTTCTATGCTCGTTTCTACCTACATGATGTCAACAACTCAGCAAGTCCTGCCACAAAATCTGACTCGAGATCTTGAAAGCTAAAGGTTTCTACCTGTTTTTGGTTGTTATGCTAACCTAGGCAGCCTGCTTGCAGGAACTCATATTTAATGGAGAGATAACGAACTAGTACAACTTTCCTCATGTAACTCAAAGGCCAATTGAGCATAGAACAAAGCAAGCCCAACTATATCCTTAAGATAGACTTGAAAAAAGTATGTTGAGGGCAGTTAGCAACATGTTAGCTGTAATGTGGAAAAATGAAAAACAGTTGCTTCTTAAAGTATATTACAAAAGCACTAAAATAATTTCTTCCTGAACATTTGGAAAAGTAAAAATGTAAATAGTAAATGTTGCACATAACCATATTGCTCATCTGGGAGGGAAATAGAGTGTGAAATTTGAATGCCATCTTAGGGGAAGTTCTCCATCATTTCCTTTTATGCTCCAAGCAGTTATGGGAGGTCTTTTTATATCACAAAAATAAAGGTAGATTCATGAGTAATTGTTTTTAATTGAGGTCTACTACATTTTTTTGTGTGTGATAGCTTAATCATGTTGGTCCCACACTAACAGGGTGCTGCCACTGAAGCCGACATAAAACAGTTTTGGACTTCAGTCATCACAACCCTCCCAGTGACTTGTCTTCTCCTGTTTCGTGTCCAATATCAACTCCTCCAAAGCCACCCACAGCTGAGCTGTGGTGTATGGCTCATTATTTATTTCTTTTGGTTTGTTTACCCCTGTAATCCAAGCTGTTACATTGGCAGGCAAAAACACATGAGCTGAGATATTAGTCATCAGCATGTCAACGGGAACGGTGCAACTCCTGAAATCTCACGCCGTGGGGGTGGGGGTGGGGGGGTGTTTCCTCTGATCCCGTTCCATGAGCCCACTTTCTCCTGCTTTCTACAACCGCCTTTGCTATGAGGGCTGGGTATAGAGAGAGTTAAAACTGGGGTACGTCAACAAATTTTGTAATTTTGGTAAAAGTCGAAGTCTTTCTGAGGGCGACTTGCAAATATACGTAATTTATTAATTTATTAGTCCTCAAATTATAATTCTGTGATTGATTTGAACCAGTGACCCAGAAGTATGAGAATCTTTTGAATTATTGGTAAAACCTGCAATTTTAAGGTATCACATTAAAATTTGGTTGTAGAAAAGCTTGTCGGATATGACCAGTGCTCCCTTTCCATGGCCACTGACTCTGAAGATACCAAGGCATTCCCAAAACAGCCAAGAGACAATATCTTTAGTTTGTCCTGGGTCTACCCAAGGTCTCTCCTCAGTAGTCTCACCTAAGAAACTTCCAGGATGCATATTAGTCAGATGCCTGAAACACCTCACTTGGTGTCTTTATATGCTGAGAAGAAACATCTCTACTCTGAGTCCTTACCTTATCTCTAAGGATGAGTCCAGACAGTCTTTTGAGTCTTCTTTCTGGTAGTTGTATCCACCGTTTTATTCCTTCAGTCACTATTCACAGTTTGTGGCCAAATAGTTACGGATCACTACAAACATTGTACCAATCTCTGGTCAGCCTCCCAATCCATTTTCCCCCATTCATGAGCAAGACCCCAAGACACTTTAACTCCTCTATTTGAGAAAACAGCCTGTCCCCATAGCAAAGTGGGCAATCCACCTTCTTCTGGCTCAGAACCATCGCTTCAGACTTACAGGTGTTAACTATCAACCCCGCTGCTTATTAGCTGTGAACCACTTAGTGTCTGGAAAGCAAAAAAGTCAGCATCGTACTCAAACAACCAAGACGCAATGTCAAGACCCAATATCCTCTGTCCTTGGCTGTTCCTACAAATTTTGTGCATGAAAGTTCAGAGAAAAATGACAAAGTTGGAGCAACAAAAAACCAAAACTTAGCGATAATGATAGTCCTGATCCTTACCTTGGGAAACATTGCCAGCTTTAACCCTAAGGCTTGTTTAAGGGTTAGGGTCACATCTACCATTTAGCGCTTTCACCTGTTTGGTGAAATGCAACCCTAACGGCAACCCTACCACCAAAGTGGTTCACCGATGAACTGGCGGATGTTAAGAACACCATTAATGACTGATAAAGTTAATCAGTAGATAAAACTGTAATAATTACCCCAGTGTGGAATTTTTTTTAAATTTAAATAAGGAGACTAAAAGCAGAAATACAGCGTCCCTTTAAGTGTGAACGATAGGTGGGCTCACATTATTTTTCTGTGGTGCTAGCCGACTAACAAAACAGACAAATCAGTCCATTTGCTGCGATCCGGCGAGTAGAAACATTAGTTGCGAACGCGTAACAGAAGCAGCAGCATCAGTGTTCATATGGTGCGACACTCTCGAGCTTCAGAGTCAACTGGCTGCTAATCCCACTTCATATGGTGCAAATACAAAACACACATGTACTTATGGTGCAATAAGGGCAGATTGTCTCTTTGAATTCTATGGTGCAACTTGAGTACTGCCTTCAGTTATCAGCCAAGGCTGTGCCAAAGGCTCCGTCCAAACGGACAACTGCTCTTCCTGTCCTGCAGAAGCTATGCAAGTCTCCAACATGGGGGAGATGTGCTTAGTGTACACACACACACAAACACACACAGTTTTCCTCTGAAGCAGGGAGAGACACACAATGAAAAGCAGTGTAATAACATGGGATGTATCCCTACCTCACCGCTTGAACACAAACACACTCACACACCAATGTCCAGTATTCCCTTACCCCTTTATAATTTGGGAACAATATTCATATGGTGCTATTGAGTAAAGCTAGATGGGTTTTTGTATAGTTGTGGTTACAGTGAAGAATTAGCCAAATATGTGTATCAAACATTCAGATCGATGAAACAGTCTAATTCCTTCATGTTGACAGCGTATGTAAAAACAGCAACACTTTCCGTCTCTGTGAAACACATCAAAGTAACAATGCCTTATCTGCTCGACTGAAGTGGAGGTGGTTTCTTTTTTTCTTTCTTTTTTTCTGTGTGTGTGTGTGGTTTTTTTTAAGATATGAGTCATAGGAGGGTGGTGCTACTTTTCTGGTACACTCTGATCTGGACATGCACTGTACATGAAGAATAGCGTCAACACGCAGAAATCAAAGGAAAACAGCGTCATGTGCCATTTAGAGAGCACAGTCAGGCATCTCCTGCTCGTTTCACAGAAAAACAAATAATCTCGAATGAGCAATCTGGATTTGAGAGTAAATATAAATGGCCAAGAGTCACAGCTTATATGTTTCTGAACAAAGAGCAGCTGCCCCACTTGTTTTTTTCCCACAGCATTAACCGCTGATTTTATTTTTTTGATCCAATCCACAGCTCTTTGCACCCAGAGCTCCAGCCAATGAGAAATCAGGTTTATTATAGCCAAATCAGGTTAGAAGCAACCAAATAATACAATTCTCTCTCTTTATATGGAACTACTCATAAGGAGCGTTCAGACTCAGCAATAGCCTCATGATCAAAGTCCAGGTATCATACATCAGTCTCGGTTGTGTCACCCAGCAGTCAAAAATCATCCACACTGGGCCTATGACTGAGCCTGCGCGCTCTGAGTGATAAGTTTCTTCCTTCATCGAGAAAACCAGAGCCTTATTCATGCCCACACTGTAAGAGAATTTAAATCCAGTAGGTGTTATGTCACTGTTGTATGGCTTCACATCCACAGCTATGCAAGGTTACGAGCAAGAAGGTTCTGGCCTTAGATAACCTTTACAGAAATACCACATCACTGTTCTCACGCGTTGCTTGTTTTTATATATATGTTTTAGGCTTTTTTTTCTCTTAGGAGGAAGGAATAAACCATAAAGTGTTGATGTGCAGAATTGCAAATATGTGATGTACCATTTGTTTACAGATTTTAAGCTTTTTGCATTTTTCTTAAATAATTTGGTGATTATTTTTATGGACTTTACATTGTTCTCTATCAGGATTGACTTCTGATGGTTTAAAATTGGTCGGGAGGGGAAAACTGTACCTTGGGAATAACTGGGATGAATGCCACCTCCCGACTGAGGAATGTGTATCTTGCTGTGAAAATGAAATGAAAACCAAGGAGTTGTTTTTCCTTTGGATAAAATACATAAATGTTCCACTATCAGGGTCTACAAAGCATATGAGGCCTGTGGTAAGGCTGTGTGTGTGTGTGTGTGTGTGTGTGTGTGTGTGTGTGTGTGTGTGTGTGTGTGTCTGAGCACAAGCTACCATACCGTGTCATGAATGCTTCATATATTCTTTTGCGTGCTTGGTCTAGAGCTGTGAAAGTATGGTTTTATTGAAGCCAGATGTTAAGTTGTTTCTGATCTCAGACCAGTTTTTACCAGATCTGAGTCCGATGACAATTCAAATCCTTTCCTTGAGGAACCGAAGAGATTTGGTAGTTTTGGCACAGAAAATGAACAAAAAGGATTTCAGTGGTTTGACTCAGGTTTGGATACTATAAGCACAGGGCAGGGTCAAACTAAACCTTAACTTGGAAGTACCTGTTAGACGTACCATGAGCTTTTATTTTGTTAGGGTCATGCTTTTCTACCATGTTCTTCAGCTTGGGGGGAGAAAAAAAGTAGCTCTAGCGACTTCGATGTGCAAAAGTAACTTTTATTTTCTTGTGGGTGGCATTTTGATTGTAAATACCTTTTTCTGGTAATCCTTCTCAGTTGGATCTATGTTCCATGGGTTTGCTTAGATGGCTCTTTGAAATGTACCGATAGTAAATGTTCTTTCTAAATATCCAGAATGTAAAACGAGAGAAGAAAAATTCAGCCTGACTGGAAGCTGTGTTTTCATAGGAATCTGTGCCATTGTGTTGTCTTGAGTATAAGCACACTGATATTAGCTCTGTGGGTGGGATGAAGTTTTTGGAGGTGATTTGCCAGACAACTGTGCTCCTTTTTTTTACTTTAAAATAAAATAATTATTAAGCAATAATTTATTTCAAAAGAAACCTTCACAAGAAATGTTTATCATAATATATAACAAAATAATTTGTTATACATTATGATTTTAGTCACAGAAAATTCAGAGAGAAGACTTTCATGTTTATGGGGGGAAATTAACAAGACAAAATAATGGTAAATGTAAAAATAGAAAAAGTTAACATTCTGACAACTAATTTTTTTTTTAAACCTTAATCTTGATTTCTGAGTTCAATCTTGCACATTTATCACTTCATCAATTCAGGTTATCTTTGCTTACATATTACTACAAAAATGTCAAATTAAAAAATCCATTGGGTAATTATTTTTGCTTCAGTTTAAAGTTTAACGTACAAGGAAATGGCTAATTAGCTAGCTAGCTAGTTCTGGCCAAAAAGCTAACGCTAACGAAAAAGTTTTTCGCACAATTGGTTTTGTTTGGAATAAATAACATAAAAGATATAAAATAATAAATCGAAAGTATTCATTTATTATAAAAGAAAACTTCTCCCACATCTAATCTCTGTACAAACCTTATCTAGAGAGTTTGTGACTTCTAGTCACATTTATGATTTATCTTTTAGTCGTATATTTAGCATACATATCATTAGACATGAAAGCAGCATCTTTTTATAATGGTCCATATTTTCCAAGTCAGTCATTAGTTTTTACCTTCATTAAAAAAATGCTCAATTTCTCAATTCACCCCAATTCCAAATATCAGCTCGCTAGTTTGGTTCTGACTAAAAAATACAGTATCTCGTACAAAAACAAAAAAAGCTAACTAGCCATTTCCCTTTTCCTGCAGTCCAGGTGATTGTGATAAAAATGTATATATTGGATAAGGAGGACATTTTAAACTCCACATATAATCAACTAGCTGAGTGCAGTGCAATCACAAAAAAGCCAAAACATGGGCGTGTATTACATTTCATATGCGAGTCGGGCTGTCTGGCTAACATCTCCTAACTTCACTACAGAAATTCAAATCGCTCCCACGTCAGCTCATGAGAGATACCATTCAGGGGGTTTCCCTAATTCACAACAAATACAAATGGGAGGGGAACGAGAAGACCCATCGTGTACCTTCAGTTTGTCTGTGTATCGTGTCTACGGTAGTACCTAAGCATTACGGTTAAGAGTTGAATGATATTTTCGGTGATTCTAGGCAGCCACCATTAGGAAATGTGTTATTTTTGTTACAATACCTCCTGAAAATAAAGTCTATTTATCTGTGAAGAGACAAAGATTTACAATAATACAGATGACTACATAGAAATTATGACAGATTTTAAATGATGTGAAAGAAATATAAATGAAAACATGTACAGTTCGTTTGGTTTTGAACACAGAACAAATGTATATGCGTCAGTATTGAGTTTGATTTTATATGTTTATCATTTTATTACATTGTAATGTGACTGCGATGGAGAAAAAAAAAATATAAAGGAATATAAATTAATTTTTCCCAAAGGTGTCTCGGTTGTTTTTCCCCAATGCCAGCTGACATAAGGAGTTTTTGTGTAGTGATTCTGAGGAGGATTAAGAGACGAATCAGGCTTCCCAACATTTTTTATTTTGTCAAAATCTCGTAACTACACAAATATTTTGACATGTTAGACACAATTTGCATAGTACAGATTTCTTTTACACTTCTAAAAACAGTAACTTTAAACATCAAGCCTTGATGCGAGTGCAATACAGAGAGCATACATGTAGCATTTAAACACCTGGATATGACATCTGCATTAAAAAAAAACAAACAAAAAAAACTGTCATACCAGTGGCCTGAATTTAACTCAGTGCACAACTTGCTCTACTTCCTGAGCCACAGCTGCCCACATATGTGCACATTACATAAAGCCATCAGAAATAACTATATGTGCAATATGCAGAAGAGGGAACATCACATGGCAAACTTTACAAAAGTTAGGGTTTCACACTCTAAATGGTTAAAGTATGCAAGCAGCTCTGCACTGAGTGCAAGTTGTATGTTTTTATTCAGTGATGTGGCTATACTCAATAAATCCCTTGAAAAGTACAGAAAATATTTCACCCATTTTCTTTTTTATATTATATACTATATATATTATATATATATATATATATAATATATATATATATATATATTATATATATCTATATATATATATATATATATATACTATATATATATATATATATATATATCTATACTATATATATATATATATATATATTCCATTTAATAAAGAAACAATAAATAAAACAACTGGGACCTTTGGTTTGCAGTAAATCTTACAAGAGAAACAAGATAGAAGTTTTTTTTATGTTATTAAATATTCATCTAGTGCTCTGGTGAGGAGGAGCAGTGTGTCACTGATGTTCTTTAAAATTTTGGGGGGGAAACAGGAAAGGTTACAAGCAAAAGAGCAACATTTCCACAAAACATGTGTCATATGGATCCATCCCTCATTGGTTCGAGTCATGTTGTTGAATTTGCCAATAATAGGAGTGTTAAATATCAACAGGCTCATGCTGTGACCTTGAGTGGTGACAGTTTCTGATCCCTGCTAACAGGCGTGTGCTCCATCTAATTTCCTTGATCAGGACAGCATACCTGTGGTTGCTCCCTCTGTGAGCATCAGATTAAATAAAACAGCCTTTGAAATTACTGTTCAACTTTCAAACTACTACCTGAATTTGCGTTTGTACTGTTTCCTAAAAAAAAAAAGAAAAAAGTGTGCAGCTAACCTATCTGATGCTAAAAATAACAATTACCGTTTTAATTTTGTAATACAAATCCCTGTGTAAGAAAAAAAAGACATAAGTGCTGATTATTTCTTTGTGCATCTAACAGTCTTTGGTATCACTCATATACAGGAAGCACAGATGGACCCCTGACACACCCTCATGTAAAGTGAACAACTGGCATAGAAAGCTACTGTGAGGAATTACCTGTAATTCAACAAATTAATATTATTGTACCAATTCAGATTTAAAATTCAGGTTTTGGCATACTTGGGCAAAAAAAAACAAAAACAAAAAAACAGAACAGCAGATAAAGAAAACTGAAGGTTAATCACAATTAAATCTTTGTCACAGCTGAATTAAATGAGCTAGTGGCTCCCTCTGCTGTTAAAAATGTAACAGCACACAACTTCAAACAACATTACCAAAGAAAAATGGAAAGAACAGTAAGATAAATGAAAGTAGTCAGTAGCTTTTGTCTCTTCTTTGAGAATAATAATAATAATAATAATAATATCAGACTCATTGTTACCGTCTTCCCACCAAAGACTTCGCCAATATTTCCCCAAAATTTCACAGCTAATCACCACTGGCTTCTTGTCACATGTTCAAGTCCAAGGATTTTTAACAGCAGTAACATTATGAAGACTCAGTAACAACAACAGAATATAGCATTACCCACAGCTGTATTTATACCAGTGCACGGGCTCTGCAGACCTGAGGCCTGTATTATTAAGCTAGTTTTCCACACCGGGGATGTCTTTTCATTATCTGGGTTCACTAAACCCGACCTCTGTAATCAGGCTTAGCAGTCACACAAACGTTGTTATCCACGGATTCCCAGTCTAGCTGTGAGCGGATTTTGGAACATAAGACCAATCACCAACGTGGACAGGAAGCAGAGCGGCATATTTTACAATCATAATACCAGACAATTAAAGAGAGGTTAAACATAATACAGGCTAAACTGTTAATGCAGTAGGGAGTGTGTGTAATAAGAAAAGTGCCATGTTTAGTTATGGTATAAAAAGTCCACTCTTGGCCATTTCCTGCATGTCACTACCACTCTGTCTCCCAGCTTTCCTTTCTAGTCTGCACCGTCCCTGGAAAATGTGACTCCTGGATTGAAACCGTTGGCAGCGACCCCGTTCTCACCACCAGCAATGATCTTCCAAGTTCAAATGGTTTGTTGACATCGTCAGAAAGGGACTCTTACAGCATGATCTGAAAGTAGCCAGGCTGGAAGCTGTGTGAACATGCTTGACATTATAATCTTTAAAGGAAAAAAAATGATCTCTGGTAAGGTTCTGAGTCTGTTCGCTGAACTCTGAACTCCCTCATATGTTTCTGTCCTTTATGTGCTCCCAAGAGCAAAGCCTGGGGAGCAGCTGAAAGACTAGCATGACATATTTATGTCTCATAACACAATCACGTGATAAACTGCACAATTGTACTCTCTTTGCATAATGATGGGGAAGTAAGTGACAGGCCTACTAAATTATACAGATTGCATTTCCTTCCAGGCTTTAGTTGAAGCAGCTTCTTGCTTGCTTTTAGCCTGGATTACATTTTTACATTCTTGTTTTGGGTTGCATTGTGGTCTGCTCTTGATAAATGTGTGGTTCTAAACCTGTTTGCGACACAGTTGGTTTACTCCAACAAGGGGTCGTCGTCATCATCATCATAGTCGACCTGCAGCCTCCGGAAAGGCCGAGGCCCTGATTGGCGGCGAGTGCTCAGAGACCTGAACAAAACTGAGGAGGAGAAAAAAGAAAACAAATCATAGCTTGTTCATCTAATGGAAAGGCTGAGAAAATGTTGGGGGGTTCCACAGGGTTCAAATCTGGGTCCCCTTTTTTTCCCCCCACATCAACACAATAAAACAAGAAGACACGTTATTCTTACTCACCAGTGATTGTAGTGAGTACCAGCAGGACACCCACCACCAGGCCGATAACCAGGGGAAGATCTACACAGGCCTCAGCGGCCAACAGGCACCGAGCCTGGGTCAGGGTGCCATTGTTGGGCTGCGCAGGCACTGACAGCAGGCGGCACATGAGTGCATAAACATCCACAGTTTCTAAGCTGTTCAGCTGATAACCCTGACGGAAGCCAGGCCCAGTCGCTGCCAGGAAAGGATGCATGCTGGGAAGAGCATTGTCATAGCCATGATCGCCCACTAAAAGTAAACAGGAGTAACAGGAGGATTACCAGGCATTAATATTGTAGGCAGTTAATTCATTGTGCTTTGGCTTTTGTCTTTTAGTCTTAACATATCAAAAACTCAACATTATTAAAAAAATAAATGAAAAAAAAAAAGCACGTACATCTCGGCAACTTGTTCCCCTTCTTCACTATGGTCCAGCCTTCGTCAGCAATCAGTATGATTGGCTGGATGCGCACATTGTTCTGGTAGTGCAGCCTATCAGGAATGGACTTCTTCAAGTATGCCGTCATGTGGGGGTGGCACTTACTCAGCGCATTGAAGACAGCATCAGCTTGATCACCTGGGCAGCAGACACATGGAAAATTGCAACTGGGAGCTCAATGCACAGAATAACAGAGACACAAGTTTCATTATGTAATATGAGATGAGCTTAGCACAGTTACTTTGATTTGGGAAGAGCGCCGCCACAGGTGTGAGGTCCACCAGTGTGTAGT